ATATCTAGGTAATTATAATATATGTGGATTGGTAAAGTAACTATACAATAAGAGAAAAATTAACAAATAGCAACACTTAACAACAAATCAAATATAAAAGATAGGAAAGGTAGTAGAGACTAGAATTAAATAAATAATTTAAAAGTATAGGCAAAAATATTTAAGTACACTCATATAAACTTACGCATATATACATATATGTACGTACACATATACACACATATACATATATATATATATACATATATATATATATATACATGCATATATCCATATACACACACATACAAACATATAATACACATATACATATACAGATACAACAATATATACCTATATATGTACACATATACATGTAAGACTATACACATATAAATATACGTATATACATATATGCAACGTGCATGCATATTCACAACGACGTACATGTACATGTATGAACCATACATATACTCATACCTATCTATGTAACTATAGCTATACACGTATACACATACATATACGCATAAACATGTATATACACATATATACACACATATATATATATACATATATATATACATACATATATATATATATATATATATATATACACAATACATATATATATACATATGTACCTAAATGCTCACAAATATATATATATATATATATATATATATATATGTATATATATTATATATACATATATATATATATATATATGTATATATATTATATATACATATATATATATATATATATACATATACACATACATATATATATATACATATATATATATATATACACATACATACATGCATATATACGTATATATAATTACATGTATACACATATAAATATGCACATACATACAAACATACATGTAAATAAGCAATATACATATATATACATACATACATACAAATACATATATATATATATATATATATATATATATATATAAACATACAATATATGTAAACTCGTATATATGTAAAGCAAACAAATTATTTATGAAGATGGATAATACATATAAAATACAAGTGGACTTACATTACGTTGGTTAGTTACATATAGAGAAGTGTACACAGCACTAGAGATTTGGCACTAACATTTATACAACTAACTTGTCAGCACTATGCATTTTTTATATAATTTTTTTGTATGATGTAAACAGAAAAATGATAGTTTTATTGAACAAAAATGTAAGTAGAATTATGTAATTTCTGCCACGACTTCTGTACTTTGCTAGTACCGAGGCATGTATAAAAGTCACCACATGTTTTGAGAGATTTTTAAGGGTCATTCCAGGATTGTTATGGGCGGGTAGGTAGAAAATAGTCGGAAGTTGAAACTAGTAATGTTAGGCTAGGTTTGTATGGTTAGAATTAGGAGAAAAAAAATTGGAAATATTATTTAGTATTACTAAGTAGTTATACTAATAACTCAAAAATCTAAAATAAAAATTTTTTAAGGTTTATTCAAAATTTGCTATGTATGGGTAGGTAAAGCTCGGGTATCAAGGCCGAAGTTAAACTAGGAAGTGTTGGCAAGGTTAGTAAGGTTGGCAAAGTTAGTATATATATATGTATATATATATATATATATATATATATATATATATATATTTATATTTATGAAGGTGAATTATTTAATTATATTACTTACAAATTCTGATTATAAGTACAAATCTCTACGTTTTAGACTTTCGGTCTACAATGAGGCTTGTCATTTAGTGAAAGAACTAAAAAAAATATAGAAAGGATTACTATATTTGGTATGACATTTGTAATATTATGTTTAAGTACTCATTAATTGCTATGTTTTAAAAAATAAGTTTGTAGGGAAGCTAGAAGCTATTTGCAGGGGTAAGTAGCAACAGTTGCACTATATTAAAATATTTTTGTTGTCTCGATTGAACATGTAAACTGTCCTGCGTAATATTATTATAGCTACTATCCCGCAACCCGCAAACCGACGCAATATACAGAACTGTCCAGGTCCATAATTTTTGACATGTATTATAAAACGTTTGCGTTATTATTATCGACTAATTTTAAATTTGATAAATTTGGAATTAAGAAAGATACTTTCAAATCAATTCAGAATTTTTGGCTAGAACGTGGACAAAAATTTTTCACTTTTCTGCTAATTACAAAGAAAAGGCTCGGCCGATCGTCGCACAAAACTGAGATCGAATGGTTTTTGATTTTTTTTAAATCGTTTCTGGGAAAACTTCGTGGTAAATCTGAAGTGTTTTCAAAATGATGGGGGTATTAAAATTATAGCATTATTTTTTCCTTTTGAGCATTAATGTAAATACACTACGCAATTTTGGCGCATAGTTTGAAAAACCCATGTTTTATCTTAATTAGGCAATTCAAGTGGTGAAATACATGTTCTTTACGCAGTTCGATATAGGTTCTCGGTATTTGTCGAAAGCATATTGCCCACGGATGTTATAAAAGCTGTCTGGATTATGCACACAACGTCTTAGAGTCGAAGCCATACCGAAAATGCAGATAAAACTCTCAATTATTTGTTAAACTTAGCCGAAATGTCAAATAGGATAGTTCCCTAAAACTCAAAAACAGGAGCTGTTACGGAGAAACAAAAATTATATTTGAAATCGGCGTACAATTCTAAAAAAAATACAGGAAAAAAATAGAAGTGTCATTTTTGTCAAGCAGTGTTATAGATGCGTCAACCGTTGGGCTACTTTATGAATAGCGACGTTATTAAGGAGATATTATATTAAACTAGTGGTGCTGGACTTTTCGTACCGTAATTTAATTTTTTTGGTGAAAATTTTGAACAAAATACATTATTTATTTTTGATTTTTTTTTTTCAAAGTATCCGCGCCGCACAGCTGTTTTAGAGACGAAATAGCAAAGCGCCGCGTTGTAGTCTATCGAATAAAAATGGATACGGAAAATGTTGACTACATTTGTACTTATCATTAAAATCTCTATAAAATATGTGTGATCATCATTTTCTACCGCCAAATGTATTTTTTTAACCACGTTTTCCCGTAAGGAAAACTTAATCAATACATTAAGATTTAGCAATTTTAACAGGAAGAAGTTCCAGATTTTGACACTTCTTTTCGTAGGCCTATAACGTTTAAGGATGTTCGTAAAGAAAGACCAAGAACTCTATTATAAGGAAACGTTTGATCAAAATCGTGAAAAAATGGTTTTAACAATTAATAACAAAAATAATGACTTAACCGAACTTTATCAGAAACTAATCAGCTCAATTCTCCTCTGATATCTTGCAAACAATTTTTAAAATCAGTTCAGTTTATTTTTGTCCACATCTAAAAAATGACTCAAACGTTTACCTCGTAAAACCAATAAACGCGAGTCCTTATCGAGCTTCATCAAATGACTATTTTTTTTAAATCGGTGTACACAGTTGTTTTTAAGAAAACGTCAACAAAATGTTAAAATTTGACTCACATCTTTTTTCAATGCTGTGTTAAATAATTAAGAATGACTTGAAATGTCGAAATAAATTAAATTAGCCAATCGTAAACATAAAATTCGCGTTTGGACAGTAAATTATTTAATTCAATTTCCACCTTTACTTTAAAAATTTAATACATATTTTTTTTGAAAAAATATTTTGACAATGAGGATTTGTTGATGTCAGTCAATGACCTACTCGATAATTGAATATACTTGTAGAGAAATAAATATTTTGAAAACAAAATTAAGATACAAATGATCCTAGTGGGCTATACTCGTCCTAGAAAAAACAGAATCAAAATTTTTACGTACGATTTTTTTATATTTTTTTTACGAATACAATATTTTTATATACATTATACTGGACTATATACTTACTCTATAAATGACAACTCATGTCAAATGATGATGATATCGAATTGGTGCCAAATATAAGGTAGAAATTGAAAATGAGTAATTCACATTTGAACATATACATTCACTACTCACCTAGAATAGAAGTAAAATCAGTATTGATTTTATCATAATAATAAATAAACTGAAAGTAATTGGATCTCGTAAAACGAAAAATAAATAATCCATTATTATAGGGCAAATGATAATTAATATTTGCTTCTGTCAAATTTATATAAGCAAATGCCCTTAAATTGCTACATGTATTAAATTTTATATTTATATATAAATATATATACATACATACAGGGTGTCCCAGACCTTAATATCAAGCCGAATCGGGGTTTTTTCCCTAAATTTTTTCTGGACACTTAAGCCATCTCATTTTTAGGTTTTCATTTTTTACTCGAAATGTTTCAATGATAAAATTATGAAATATTTTACAATTCTTATTATATGTGCCAACTTTTGATAAAGCTTGTCAACATATTAGTACATTTTTTTAAAATGAGAGCCTTTCAAAGTCGACCAAAAATGTGTAATTCATAGTTTAACAAAAAGACTTAATTCTGGAAAACTTGGGGCAATTGCGATAATTTTTTACTGTGGTCCTAAAAATGTAATTCACAGTTACAGTTTTAAAGTTTAAATGAACAAAATTAATGAAAGTTAACCACAATAACCAAAAAATAGTCATCATTTTATCAAAGATATAGGTTGCACTTAAGAGTTCTTAATTACCTCATAAAGTAAGATTTTTTTTCTGGTTTAGATAGTATAATTACTAAATGTCAAATTGGACCTTTGTGCCCCGCCCTGACCTATATTTACATAAAAATATTAGTTCTATAGTATTTTAATGAGTTATATTTTGTTACTTCTATTAATAATATAAGTGAATTGAAAAACGCATAATACAAACTCTTATATTTTTTTATAAATTTTACAATTATTGTATAAAAATTACCACTTAAAAATGAGATAAAATTGAAGTCAGATAATAAAATGCATAAAAATTAATATGTGAAAAACAGTGAATAAACTAAAAATGTTATAAGTAGCTGAAATGCTCTAACAAAGCGAGGCTAATAAATAAATAATATAAAAAATATGATAACAAATCATATATATTTTTAATATAAATTTTGTAGAAAACAGGAACAAGATAACGGCATAAGCATGAATCCGAGCAAAACATATCCCACTGAGGTGTGTAGAATCATAGACGAAAGAGCGAAGGTAAAGCTGTTATTTGTATATTTACTTTTTTGCAATAATCTTTAAATCCGTAAGCATATTTTGCTATGAGTTTAAATCAGCTGATCTTAATAAAAACAGAAATGAAGTTAAAATTTGCCGTAGAATTTAAAACTAGTATAGGCTAACTTAATTTTTAAATGAGTAGGAGAGACTGAGTACGGTTATGCCCGGGTACGGTAGTGACAGTCGTCATATCAGCTGAACTATACTGATTTTGAGATAGGGTCCAAGCGAGAATAATTGCTTTCAGTCAGTGCCTTGCATTAACACGATCTGTTAATTGCATTGCTTATAAGAGTCAAAAGTAAGTTCACATGTTTGAATTTTTTTAATCATAACTGAATTGAGTACACATAGATCTTGTTTGTTATTTTACTGTGAAGTTATTTACTAGGGTTTATATAAAAACCGACATTTCAGAAAACCGGTTTTCGAATTTTAAATTTACTAAAAAACGGTTTTAACCGGTTTTCGAATTTTATATAAAAAATTAATTTTTGCTCGAATATTCTGTAACTTATCCGCAAATTTAGTGTAATTTAGAGCAGTATTTGACTGAATTTATTTATTGTTCAATTTTATAAATAGTAAATAAAATTATTTTAATTTTAATTAGTAAAACTAAAAAATAATAGTTTATCATGATTAAATAACTTTGAAAATAATTATTCTTTATTCATGCATCATTTTCACATATAAGAATAAAAATATTTTTATGATAGTGAAAGTAAAGTTTTCAAATAAATAAAAATAAAAAAATGCATCATATTAAAAAAATATATATATGTTAGATACATGTTGACACATATTTGTTAATAACAATTTTAGTTTTAAAAATAATTAAGTTAAACTCGGGTAATGTCTGTTCCGAGCAATTTTAATTAATTAATTTTAAACATTTCAATTGTTATTTGTTTAATAAAATATGATTTAAAAAAACTGAGAACGTCTATCAAAATGCTACTTAGACATGTCCTTTATTGTTTCTAACAAAATTTTCTGAAATAGAAAATACTCTCATACTTGCGACCAAATTATGCTTAATTGTTTTTTTGTTCTTTAATTTGTGGCTTCTAGGGTTTAAAACTTTTTTTTAAAGTTTGAGTAGAAGAAATTAGTTCTTTAAGAATAAGTCACACTGATCTAAATTAATATATACAAAACCTTTCTGGGAACCATTGCAGACTGATGAGATATCAAATGCTATTTTCCATTTATACAGTGAAAACCGACTTTTTTCACTAAAAACCCGGTTTTCGAATTCCATAATTTTCGCAAAAAAAACGGTTTTTAAAACCGGTTTTTGAAAACCGACAAACCCTTTTATTTACCACTAATTAGTTTTTGCTTAGATAATTTAGCTCAGTCATACGTTTTCTCAAAGAAATTAAAAACCGATGAAACTTGTTAAGCACTCGAGTTAGTTATTTGATACGATCGGCTGAGCCATTTCTTTAAAATTAGCAAAAAAGTGCAAAAATTTTTGGCATCGTTTTGGCCAAAAATACTCCGAGTTATATTAAGCGCGTGTTTGGTTTTTGATAATGTGTAAAAAAATTCACTCAGAATTCTTATAAATCACTCATAAATAATATATTGATTTATTATTGACTAAGTAGATTATTTACACATGTCGGGAAGTTCATGTAACTTGCCTTAATGCAAAATGCCACTTACAACTAGTTTATATAAATGTTCACATCTCTATTTACTATTATCCTACTTATTATAAATATTACATATACAATATTCATTTTACAGAAGCTCGCTCATAAGGATGATGATCTTAAGGCAAGTATACGGGAAGCCAAAGAAGAAGTGAGAGAGTTGCAAGAGAAAGCGGAACAGATACACCAAATATTACTAAAACAGGACGAGCGAATATATGGAGGTTAATATGAATGTTTTATTTATTTATGCAGAAGGTCGAGAAAAAGCACTTGTCTTACTTTACTTAAGCTTTTATCATGCTTTAATTGCTGTTATGTTTAAATGCAAAAAACTAATTCAAAATTGAGTCTTGAAAGAAAATCCATAGCTATACCATTTATTTATCAAATTATTTATTAGCACTAGTAATTAAAGATACTATTTAACGTGAAACTATTTAGAACTATTTCGCGAAAAATTAAAGCAGCTAATAATCATCAATAGAAATCAATTACTATTAAATCCTGAATACTTTAAGCATTTAATTTAATTTCAATTTAAAATTAGCTGTTCCATGTTTGTCTGTAAAGGGAGTAATAGATTTCACAAAACCAAACTTACAAAAAGCATATAAAATTATATATCTTTCATTTAAGGCAAATTACATAAAAAACTTCCGGATATGTATCAATAATCGACTTAATAAGAATTGAGATGTAGCAACTATTAAAATTGTGACAATAATTTTTTTAACTGTTCATATCGAATATGTATAAGGCGTTCGTTTTTAACTTCTCGGAAAAAAATCGAAAATGAAAATTTTTATATATCTTTACGTTTCAGAGGTTTCTGAATATTTTGGCATACCTTAGAAAATATGGATGTATGTGTGTGTGTGTATGTGTGTGTGTGTGCGTGTATGTATGTGTGTGCGGATACAATTTTTCGTCGACGGTTTCGGGAACACGGATAAAGCAATTTGAATAATTTAAAAAACATTCGATCCGTATTGATAAGAAGACGTGCTGATTAGTTTTTGGCAAAGGCAGGTCTTGCCGTTCCGAAGATATGGGGCAAAAAGTGCTAAAAACGGTACCTCAGTTTTTAAGAGAACGGAGCGTCCGATTTCAATAATTCAAAAACCATTTTACTTGTATTGACAAGATGAAGATTTTATCAAATTTTCATAAGGGCAGGTCTAGCGGTTTCGGAGATATAACAAAAAAAGTAAAAAAAAATGCCATTTGGCGGTCAAAAATGATCATTAGACATATGCACATCAAATTATCAGATATTTTATAGAGATTTTAACATTAAGTATGAATTTTGTTTACGTTCCTATGGGTTCCGTACCAATGTTTACCCGTTAGACAGCGACGCGGCGCTTACGCGCTTTATACTTTGTCTCTATGCAGTTAAAGCAGTACGATTGCTTTGAAAAAAAGTTCAGATCTTCTAACATACAAAAAAAAAACTAAAAAAAACTAAAAAAAAAAAAATTATACTTTTTTTTCCAAAATCAATTATTTTGTTAAGACAAGCAGAAAGTTCTTTGAATCATTTAAATCGGACGCTTAGTTCTCTCAAAAGCTGCCATTTCTTACATATTTAGCTCCGTATCTTCAAAATGGCTGGGCCTGCCTTTGCCAAAAACTAATAGACGCTTCTCCCAATCATTACTAATTGAATGTTTTTTAGATCATTCAAATCGGATACTGCGTTCTCTCGAAAAGTCGATTTGTATTTTCTGCACTCTTTGCTTCGTATCTCCGAAACGGCTGGACCTGCTTTCGCCAAAAACTAATCAGCTCTTTTCCCTATCAATAAGAATCGAATGTTTTTTGAACCATTTAAATCGGTTGATCCGTGCGCCCGAAAATGTGACTGGAAATTTGTATCCATACATACATACACACACACATCCATTTTTTCTGAGGTATGCCAAAATGTTCAGAAACCTTCAAAACGTCGAGAAATGTAAAAAATTTCAATTTCGATTTTCGGCCCATTACAATAACTCATGGATCGTTCAAGTATTACGTAAGCAATTTAGTAGAATTATTTACCCTCCCATCCCCCTTTGTCAGCAAAAGTAAGCAAAGGTGTCACCAAAATAAGAAATCAGAAACCCCCCCGCCCCCCTATAGTGCTTACGTAATACTTAAACGGCCCCTTACCCTACGGGAAGTTAATAAGATGATAAAAAGTTTTCCTTAATTTCGAATAGTTAAAAGAAATGTTTTTATTTATGTATACTATGAACTATTTCAGCTACCGGCATTGCGAATTTCAAACGAATTCAAACCCCACCACGCGAGCGTGTGGTATCGAGTAAACAGACTCGCCAGACTCGAACTCTTTCTGCACGACAAGAACCAAAGAAAAATATGCGAGATTTCAGCGTACAAGTACGCCTCGAGCTCGAGGAAAGCCCAAGGAGAGCTGCTACGCCGCCTGTGATTGTTAGACCAAAGTCAGCTGATGTCGCGAAACAAAAGGTCTTAATTCGTGACTTAGAGGTACGATATTACCAATTATCACATCACCATAGGTAATGGTATTTTTAGGTAATTAGATAATGACACTTTTATCTAATGATACCGCTTTCTTATTACACGCATGTATTGAGAAATATTAAAATATTGATTTTTAACCTTGAGGTAAATTGCTGGAAATAATACGAAATTAATTAATGAAAACTTATTTTATATACCGCATCAAATTAGATATTTGACATTCCTTAGTTTTCAAGAAATAAATTTAACCCTTTCGGTACGCGCGGTACATATGTGTACCACAAAGTTTGAAAATTTCTGTACAGTTGAATTTATGTATGAAAGCAATGCAATTTATACCACGACGAAATGTAAGTGTTTAGCTGTGAGATAAAATACATATGACCCGTAAAACAGCATTTATTTTGGAACCAATCGCGTTTTGTTTTTTATCCGCTCAGACCATGTTGCAACAAGTTGTCGTAAGGCCGTAATATTTTAGTATGGTCTAGAAGACTATGGTATCTATCGTCAAAAAATAATAATAAAAATCGTCGAAAAAAATTGTTTTAACACTTTATTACAAGAAAACTCTACCAAAAACTAATCAGCACGATTCCCAACCAATATCTTTCGAACGGTTTTTGAATTTTCATAATCGATTCAGAATTGCGGGCTAAAACGTGGACGAAAAATTTCTCACTTTTCTGCGATTTAGAAAGAAAGGGCTCGGCCGATTGTAACGCAAAACTGACAAACGATAGTCCTCATCGAGATACATCGAATGGCTTTTAAATTTTTGACATCGGTCCAGCCGTTTTTGAAAAGACGTGGATTACGGCAAAAAATCTGTTCACATACATACACACACATACTTTTTCCAAATTCGGTCTCATTCGATTCAGAATGGCTTGAAACGTCGAGAACACATAAAATTAGCGAATAGGATTTTTTGATGAAAACGTAAACTTCTTCTTCGGGAAGTTAAAAATTAGACTACATTCAATAATTGTTGTGATTGTGAGTGATTACAATGGGCAAGAAAGCTAGATAAAGTAGACAAATATAACTATGTTTCCAACATTTTGTATTTATTACTACATTAGATTAGCGGTACACATACGTACCAGGCGTCTCTTACGCTGGTATAAATGTGTAAGATCTCAAATAAGAGGTAGTTAAAAAATCGTAAATATGTTTTTTTTCTTTGGCTTGTTATTTATATTATAAATAGTGAGATAGAAAAGAAATATTCATAATCTGTAACTATCGCAAAGCAAATGTGTACCAACAAAAAGTTCGGCTGGCACAACAGTTTACCAGCCTCCCTAGCTGACCCCGATTATTTAAAATTATTTTTTTATGATTTTTACTACAGCATATATCACACATTAAAATTATTATAAAAACCGGTTTTTCAAACAATTTTTCGAATACTGTCCCGAAAGGGTTAAATTAAATAGAAATAAAAATGATTTACATGTTGGTAGATAAATATAGAGCCATTTATCTTTAGTGACGATAGAGAAAGTAAACAATTTTTGGACAGCCACATTCAAATTTTGAGTCTTAAGACCGTAAAAACAAAAAATAACTAAACTACACATTTAATTCATGACCCATTACTAATTTCGATTTTGAAATGTCAAGGCCGAAGTGGCATCGCTACGTGGGCAAGTTAGTTTTTTGAAGCAGCGTATGATCGAATCTGGCAACCAGAATCTGGCTCTCATGGCCGAATTAAAACAATGTCAGCGCCCCATGCAGTGGAAAAATGACGATCAATATTAGATATTATCATCACAGATATCATTTTTACTTTTGTAAAAACTACTATAATTTTAAATGTAATCATTAATAATGTATATAGAAATATTGTGTTCGATAATGATTATTAACATCAAAATCATGAACAACGATTTGTAAAAGCTATCGACATATTTCATTCAATTACTATAATAGTTGCATATTTTTTCAGATTTAAAATTTATTTGTTCTATTTTAAATTAAATCGATCTGAATTACATAATCTAGATCAGATATGATGCCATTCATAATAATCATATTGGCTTCATTTTTTGAATATACTAAACATATATTTTTTACTTTTTATTACCATGTAGCAATGTCCTCGCAAGACAATTTTCAATTTATATTATATTTAAGATCATTAAGCTCAAGAGAAAATTTGATATCATATTGCTTCTTATCAAGCAAGTCGAGGTTGGGTTCGAACACGAAACTAGAGAATAGAAATCCACGTTCTTACCACGAAATATCGAATTGCTTACATCCATAAGATTAAGATGACCAAAGATAATTATTAAATAAAGTCTATTATATTCCGCAATAATTGATATATTTTCGAAACACTTTTATCAACATATAAAATTACATTGCTACAAATACAATATTGGATTGCATTCTAACTATAAAGTAATCTGAACACCTATGAGTTTAAAATATATCAAATAACTTTCGATTAACAATAGCTATTGCACCGTTTCGGTAAACTTAATAGAATCAATTTCGAAGTTAGAACGTGCTCCTCAGAATTTGCAACTATGTAACATATTCGTCTCAATGGGCAACTTGAAACCATATTGCATTTATTTCAATATACCTTGCTTTTAAAAATGGAATGTCTTTCAAAAAAAGTTGTTCTGGGAAAATATTTATATATCTTTACATTACAAAGCCTTCTAAACATTTGGCATACCTTAGAAAAAATAGATGTATTGTTGCCTTCATTCTATCTTGGCTCGATTAGGTTTTGTTTATGCGTGTATTTTATATTTCTTGCAAACATGTACATATGTTGTTTGTAGAATACGGCCCAATAATGAACACATTATAGTATTTGTTGTATTCCTTTTTTTTCAATGATAATACATGTTGTATATATTATTCAAATGTATGTTTGTATATATGAAATTATTTAAAATAAGAGTTATTCATTGATCAATTTTATTGAATATTTATTGGTTTTATTTCTCAAATATTTAATTACGTTACGGAAAGTTCCAGCAATTTGCCTCAAGGCACGATGCCATACACTACTAATTTATTATTTATTAAAAGAAAGATATTATGCAGATGTAGGAGTAGGATGTACCATTTCCATAAAGTTAATTATTAACCATTTTTCAATTCTAACTTGATTGTTTGAACACATTTAAAAATTTAATAAAAAAAATTGAGGCAAAGAAATCGTATATAAATATATATATACATACACACATATATATATATATATATATATATATATATATATATATATATTTACTTGATTACTTGATCACTTAATCAATAAGAATTGAGATCTAGCAACATTTACCAATAAATAAAACTGTTAATTGTTAACTGTTTGTCTCAAAAATATTTTAGTTTTTTCATTACAAAATAAATCAATAAGATTTCCATTTGAGGTTTACATACGTTACATGTAAAAAAATCACATGTTTTTCATATGTAATTCATATATAAATATTTTTTCATACATATAAAAATAAAAAATCAATTAGGAATAGTGGTAATGAGTTTTTGGTGAAAATTGTTGAAAGTTTGAAATAATTGTTAAAATGAGTTAAAATTTCTAAATTGTATCGACAATTTTTAAAAAATGCTACATATAAATTCTTATTGATTATGTCGTTTAATTACACATATCAAGAAGTTCACGCAAGTTGCCTTAAGAAAAAATTCCACTTACAATTATTCTATTTAAGTTCCTAACTGCTTTAGTTTTTTTTATTTGGACTCGACACATACTATATAAATATATATACATATATATATATATATATATATATATATATATATTTATATTACTCATAATGTTACTTTAATATAAATGCAATTTCAATTTTCTAAATGTCTTATCTAGACAGATTGTATTACGAAATTAAAATATTTATAATGTATTTTAGAAATTGATGAAGCAATGAGAAAAATAGTTGTATGAACGCAGGGTAAACTTGCATAATAAACGTCATCAAAGTCTTTGTTTCTGAAGTTGAAAAACATGCTGTATGTTCTTGACAAATATTCGTTTTAGTTAGGTTGTCATGCGTAATTTATTTGCATGTAGAATAAGAATTCTTAGAAATTATTTACAATGTTCAGAATTGGCATTCGATATTCACATTTTAAACGACTAATGATTGTAAGAGAATAATTTTCTTTCCTTCTATATGAACTTTTTGATTGGTATAAAAGATTTTAAAATTGTATTGATTGTACAGTAACTAATATATGCGTAAAAATAATAATTATTTGTACGTTATCAAAAATTAAGCAATATTCTTAAAATACACTTATAGAATTCTTTAGATTTTAGATAAATATAGTTGCAGGAAACTCATAAAAGACAAAATTACCAATCATTCATAATACATTCTAAGAATCAATCGAAGGTTAATCGTAGTTTCCAAATTTTTTTATGTAGCGTTGGAAACAACTAATATGCAGAAATATAAATAAATACTCTAATAAAATTTTTATTATAATCCTCTATTATAATTGTACATTCAAATCAATTTAATGAATTTAATAAATTGCACAAAACGTAATATTAAAAATAAACTAAGGTATAAGTGGCATTTAGCCTTAAGGCAAGCTGCATAGACGTCCCGATATGCATAATTAATCAACATAATCAATACGTATTAATCAATATGATTTAGCCATTTTTAAGATTGCAACGATAAAATTTTCGAATTTTGACACTTTCCATCATTCCAATCTTTGATAAGTTTTTATAATATTTCTATAACACATTTCGTATGCCTAAAATATTTAAGAATACTCGTAGAGACCATAAACCGATAAAAAATTAACAATTAATTACGAAAAAATAACCCAGCCCAGATTTTTTTTCTGAAAACGAGGATGATAAATTTTACAGTTTTCTGCAAATTATTAAAACTGAATCAACCGATAATCTATTAAAACTAATGACTGCGAGCCCTTATCGAGCTTCTTCAAATGACTTCTAAATTTTTAAATCTTACATTTAATAAACATTTACAAAATTCATTTTTGACAATGATGATTTGTTTGCCGTCAGTCAATGACGTACTAGATAATGAATATCTGACGTACTAGATAGTTTGTATAAAAACAAATATTTCGAAAACAAAATTAAGATACAATTCATCCTAGTGGGCTATACTCGCCCTGGAAAAAGATAATCAAAATTACTACGTTCACAGTTTTTTTTTACATTTTTTACAAATACAATATTTTTATATGCATGCAGAAACTGGAATATATATGATTATAATACTATAGCATGTCAAATGATGATGAAGTCGACTATGATGACAAATTTATGGTAGAAACTGAAAATGATTCAGAGGTAACAATTCACATTTGAAAATACACACTCACTACTTATCGCATAGAAGTGAAATCAGTATTGCTTTTACCGTAGTCATATTTAAACTCTAATTGGAGCTCGCAAAATAATAAATAAATTAATATAAATGATAATATTTGCTTCTGTCAAGATTATATAAACAATGAACGGTATACCAAGTCGTGCGAATTAAAAATGGCCTTGAATTATTATTATTAATATTATTATTATTATTATTATATATATATATATATATATATATATATATATATAGAATTTTATGATATGAGTGGAACGAATATTAATTGTTTAATATGAACAAAACAGCACTCAGATTTGTTTAACACAACTTTATTTTATGATACTAGTATATAAGTAACTGTTTTTGAAATTACACTGAAGATGAGACACACCATGGTCTCGAAACGTCTGTAATCATAAAATAAAGTTGTGTTAAACAAATCTGAGTGCTGTTTTGTTCATATTAAACAATTAATATATATATATATATATATATATATATATATATAATTGATCTTTTAAAATTTAGTTTATTCTTTGTTTTAAATAAATTTGAAACTGAGAGTATTAAATATTTTTAATGACAACAAATATGTTTTAAATTTCACAAATAAGCTATAGTATAGCTATATATAGTAAAATTTAATTTATGTTAAATAATTTAATTATTTATATCAAATTATTTAAATTAGTAAAATTTTTAAGATTTTTTAAAAAAAATAATTTTCGGTACGGAAAATTTTAGCAGTTTGCTTTAAGGAACGTTGTCAGGCACCAATGTTTTTTTTAACCAACTTTTTCAATTTTATTTTTTTGTATTTCCAAATTAAAGAAACACATCCAGCCCTGAATTTTTCACCCTCCTGACACAAACCCTTGCTTCGTGAAACTCACTTTAGTAATCGACTAGTTTTTCATCGCGCTTTTTTTGAGGGACCAATTTTCTTTATTTTTTTTTAATGCTTATTTGAAAAATGCATACAACTTTAAATTTTCAACCACCTACCACAAATTCGTATTTCATAATAGTTATTATAGTAGTCCAATCATATTTTTCTCTATCTAGCTTGATAACAAATCAATTATAAGCTTTTTATGAACGTTTCTAACTGAAATTCGACCAAGATTTTTTGAGCTTATCCAAAATCTTAAATTTATCCGCTCTATTTGCTAAAACATTTTTAGCGAATAGAGATTAGATAATGGTGTCAAATTATCGTAGGACTTACAAGATTCCATTGTAGAAATATTTTTTGATGTCCACACACAGGAAGCACATAGATTATGAGTGGTTTGCATAGAGACCAATTTTAGAAAAAAAAATATAAAAATTGAATATTAAAATCTGAACATATAACAGTTTTTGAACTAGGTACTATGTAAATATATGCCACAACCAGAGCCGGATTTAGAAATTTGGCGCCCCGGGGCACTGACAAAAATGCCGCCCCATCCCTGAAATTTTACGAACTTTCGAACTTTTTTTAAAGCAATCGCGCTGCTTCAGCTGCGCAGAGACAAAATATAGGAGCGCGTAAGCGCCGCGTCGCTGTCTAACGAATAAACAATGTTACATAATCCATATAAATTTAAACAAAATTTATACTTATTATTAAAATATTTTTAAAATATCTGATAACTTGATGTACATATGTCTTATGATCACTTTTGTCCACGAAATGTTTCTTTTTCAATTTTTTTTATTAGATCATCGAAACCGCTAAACCTACCTCCCACAAATTTAAGCAGTTATTTATTCTATAAATTTTTTTGAATGATATTGGACGCTTCTTTTCTCAACAACTAAATTATCATTTTTGGCATTTTGGCCCGTATTTTCAAAACAGTTGGACCTGCCTTGGTCAATAACTAATCAGCACGTCTTCTTAACAATCATTGAATTGAATTGAATCATTTAAATCGGTTGATCCGTGTTCACTTGAATAATAAAAAAATATTAGATTTGTATTGATGGGGAGACGTGCTGATTAGTTTTTGGCACGAATTATGAAAAATGGTAATTGAGATTTGATATTTCTTCTCTGAAACAGCTACGCAGCGCGATTGCTTTGCAAAAAGTTCATAATTTTCAAAAAATTTCAGAATACAAATAATGTGTTTTAAAAGTCAATTTTTTTCATTTCCAATTTTTTTTCAATTTTAAAGCTCTTTATAAAATGTAATTTTCAGTACGGGATGTTTCAATAATTTGTCTTAAGGCACAATGCCATGCGTCACTAGTTAATTTTTTTTTTTCAACGCTATAAGCTTGTAAGTGCAGAAATTCGTCATTTTAAGAAGGCTCGAAAACTGAAGAAAATATTATTTTTAAACTTTCAGCTTGTTTACGGATCTTTATATTAGCCAAATTGACAAATTTGATAATGACTTATTAACCAATTTGATAATTTACGTTCGGAGAGGGAGGCAAGGCAAAATAATAAATTTTAATAATCGGTTATTTCAACCCTAATTTTGCATTGCAATCGTATTATGTTTTGTTAATTATATTTCTTGAAATAAAAAATGCTGTTAAAAAAAAGTTGATTATATTGTATAGATTTTTTTTTCTCAGTTTTCAAATTTTGCCGCCCCCAAAAATTTGCCGCCCTGGGCAGTAGCCCCGATTGCCCCTACTGTAAATCCAGCACTGGCCACAACTGTAAATCTTTCTCTAAGCATGCTACAGCATAATATAAAATAAAGAGTCGGATTCAAAAATTAATCAAATAATATAAAGCGCGGTAATAATATACAAAACTTTGCATCTTCAAATGTGTCAATTTAATTTAAATGAAATCAGTTTCGGGTTAGAATAGCACTTGCAATGACTACTACTATGCCCCATGAACATATGTAACATGTTTTGTAGTGGGGTTAAGCAAACATATAATTTGTGTTCGCTACCCGCACTTATATAGCACATACTTCCACAGTCACAATGATTTAGTTATTTTTTAAAACATTTTCATAATACAATTTTTCTATAAATATTATTAAAGTCCGTTTTCAAATAAAATACTATATGAAAAGATAGATTATGAAATAAAAATGTAAGTAGCTAGTAGCTACAAAATGAGGACAATAAGTAGATAATTACAATGATAATAAATTTATATATATATATATATATATATATATATGTATATATATATATATATATATATATATATATTCTTTTCAAAGCCGAGAAGAGACCATCCCACTAGTCTGAACTCGGACGCAACATTTCCCACTGATGTCAATAAGATCATTGACACAAGAGCAAAGGTAAAAACTTTATGTATTTATTAATTTACAATAATCTTTAAATCAGTAAGTATATTTAGCTCAATGCATATTTTACTATGAGTTTAGAACAGCTGATATTAGTTAAAATAGAAATTAAAGTTAAATTCGTCATAGAATTTAAAAATAGTATAAGCTACAATACAATTTATCACTATTATTCATTAAACATAACTTCATATGTGTTCAATGAATCTTTGTAATTATATTAATAAATACTCGTAAGATATATTTTAAATTATTTGTGATGTTCATATTTGAACAAGATAGAAGTTCATTAGTAAATTTGCAATCAAATCTTGAAATATACACTACAATTGTATACAAAATATACAAAACGGTGAGATGAGTGATCTATTTAAATAACCGTTTTTAGATAACGATATTGATGAGCCATCTTATTTATACAAATGTTTAGACATCCCTATTTACTTTTATCCTACTTATTATAAATATTACACATACTTCTCAATATTCATTTTCAGATGCTCTCCCAACAGAATGACGACCTTAAAGCCAAATTGGATCTAGCTAAAATTGAAATTAAAAAATTGCACCAAAGAACGGAACGCTTACAAGATCTGGTAAAGAAGCAAGACGGGCGAATATATGGAGGTTAATATAAATGTTATATTTATTTATGCAGAACATAAAAAAGTACTCATCTTAAGCTGCTATCATGCTATGATTGCTATATGTGTTTAAATACAAGAAAACTAATTCAAATTAAGAGAATCAATAGTTGTACCACGATGCCATATCAATTGTAAATGAGTTATTTACGTGAAATAGATTTGATTCTAGATAATAATAAAGTCAGAAATACAAATAAAAAAGAAAATAATTATAGGAAATCAAAATGAATTGATTACGGTGGTTGTAATCTACAACTACCAGTAAATCCTGAAAATTTTCAGTATTTAGTTTAATTTTAGTTTAACGTTGGCTGTTTCAATATAATATATTAGACAATATAATATAATAATATAATATAATATATTGTCTGCAAAGGGTATAAAAAAATCACGAAAATGTTACATTTTAAAATTTCAAAAAGCATATGAAATAATTACATGAAGTTTTTTTTCTTAAGGCGAATTGCATGAACATCCGGATATGTGAAATAATCGATGTGAAAATAGCGATTTAACAACTATTAAAATTATTACTATATAATATTTAACTGTTTATATAATACCAAAATTAAGTTTTCGTTTTCAATTAAAAAGTAATCAATGCAATTTCTAAATTACATCTTTCAAGCAAGCATACAATAATTGTAACTGTAAGAAGTAATTTATTTAATTCATTCTGTTATTCAACGATGTTCAGTATAAAACACAAAATGAAATAGGTATACACAGTGGATGTCCTAAGAGAATGGCCCATTATTTCAAGCATTAATGCAATTTTATATTTATATAACTATTTCTAGGTCTAGAGTATTTTAGAATGTTCGATTAGTTAGATCATAAAATCATTCTGCAAAAGTAGCCAGTAGCTTACTTCATCATCAATTGATATCTTAACAAAAGTTATGTTTTCGCCAAAAAATCCGATTGGCTTATTTTATGTTTTGTTGGCGTATCAAGTCATTACAAATCATTTGGCTATAATTGGAAAAAGTATACATGTGTATGCAAGTGATGAGCTGATTAGATTTTGGTAAAAACGGGCGATTCTTTTCTATTTTTTGACGATTTAATTTAATTCAAAGCTTTATTAAAGTCGTTAAAAAAGAGAAGAACCGTGTGTCTTTACCAAAATCTAATCAGCTTGCACACACATGTATACTTTTTCCAATTGCAGTTTGATTTAGAATTACTTGATATGCCGAGAAAACATAAAATTAGCCAATCGGATTTTTTGGCGAAATCATAAACTTTTCTTAAGATATCTGTTGATAATGAATTAAGCTACTGCTTACTTGTCAGAGAAGACAATTATGAATTACACAGCGAATAGGTGGCACACAATAATTAATTTTGTTAATTTGCATAATATACAAACTATTTTATAGATATACCAACATATCAATACACGAATACATCGTACAACCATCCAACAAAATATATATACTTGGACCTAAAAAATCATTTATTGTTATATATATATAACCACGAGTACCATCATATTTTCCTATCTTGAAGGTTTTTTGTCAGTTTTATTATATTCGTAAAAATCGAATACTTGTTAATTATTTCGAAAATACACGCAAAATAAAAAGATAAATTAAGTTTTCCTCGAAGTAGACTAGTTTTAACAAATTTACTTATGATCTGTTTCAGGTTCTGATATTGCGAGCGCTAAACTCGTAGAGTTGAGTAAAAAGAATAGAAACCTTCATGCCGAACTGGAATCCACGAAAATGCGATACTCCAGCGTTCAAGCACGACTCGAGGAAAGCCAAAGCAGAGCAGCACCCCCGCCTGCGCCCGATCCGCCAGCCTCGGTCGATGCGGCACAACAAGAAGCCATCATACGTAATTTGCAGGTAGGATGTTAACAACTATCACATCGATATAATCAATTGTATTTTTAGGTAATAACTCCACCATTTTTTTATTACATGCTTGCAATGAAGAATATAAAATAGTTATTTAACCTTAAGGTATACTGCGGAAAATTTCTATTTTAGAGATTTAAAATTGTTAAAAGTTGTGCATGGCATGGTATCAGACAAATTGCAGGAATTAAGTTCCCGGATCATAATTGAACATTCAAAGAATAAAAACAAATATTTATAATATAATTTAATCAACATATAATACAATCAACAAAAATTATCAACGATTATTTACAACTGTTTTCAATATTTTTAAATAGATTATTTTAAATATTGTAAATGTATTATTATATATTAAAGTGTTCATAAAATTGGGAAACTGGCGTATTTTACAAACAACTTATGTGTATACTTACAAGAAATGTAAACCGAGACGAGATAGAATGAAGGCATCTGAGAATCTTATCTCATAAAACTTCATAATAAAAATTTACTTCATTCCAATTCTTTGAATTCTTCCGAATTTTTGAAAATTTCTAATTATTTCGAAAAAGTAGAAAGTTTTGAAATTTTTTGAAAATTTTGAATTTTTCTTAAATTTTTTGGAAAATTCTTAATTTTTTTGATTGATTTGAAAAATTTCGAAAATTATGTTCATAAAAGCAAAATGTGTTTCGAATCATTCAAATCAGGCGCTCTCTAGGAAACTAAATTGCCATTTTTTTGGGATTTTTTGCCATGTATCTTTGAGACGGCAGGACAAAAATCAATTAGCACGTCGAAATGTCGACGAAAAATTTTATACGCACACATATACGCATACAAACATACATAAACATCAATTTATTCTAAGTTTAAATTAAAGTTATTGAATAAAATAAAATATTAAATATTACTGCAAATTGTATAAAGTAATAAAAACTTATTTTAAATTTATACCGCAACCTAATTAGATTTTTGACATTCATTAATATTCAAAAATAAATTAGAGCAATTAGATCGAATTAAAACGGATCTGCATGTTTGCAAATAAATATAAAATCTTTTATATTTGGTGACGATGGAGAAAGTAAACCATTTTTGAACAGACACATTCAAATTTTGAAAAATAACTATACTACACATTTAATTACTACATAATTAATTTTCGATATTAAAATGTCAAGGCTGAAGTGGCGACGTTACGCGAGCAAGTTAGTTTAGCAAAGCAGCGTATGTTTGAAACCCGCAATCAGAACCTGGCTCTCAGGGCCGAATTAAAACAAACCCAGCGTCTTCTGCAGCAGGAAGTTGGCGACGGACTCATTATGCAGGGAAACACGCCCGCACTACCTTCGACCTGGCGTGGGCGAGCCCAACAAATTATCGCCCTTCAAAATAAAATATCTGATCTACAGCATAAGTGCGGCCAAACTACTGCTACAGGTATTCCAAAAAGAATCGCATTACTTGTAAATAAAATTTTCGAAGTCGCTATCAGGAGATAAACGGCAATGATTGAAAATCCATAACAAAAGTATTTTCTTCCATTGTTAGTTTTTTTGGTTGTGAGGACTATTTTTTAGTTTACGAGACCTTAATATAATTTTTAAGTATACGTTATTTAATTGTTATTTTGATCAAAACTGCTACGAAACAACGGACACCTTTAAAAATGTTTTTCCCGTCAGCTCAGAACTGAATTACACATACAGCTTGAATACAAACTTTCTGATCATCATATATATGGCTAAAATTATTTTAAAAACATATATGGCTTCTTTTACATTTTTGTGGAAAATATAAGATTTGTGTGACTCTCATTATATTTAGGCTAATATTTCAATTGAAAATGAGAATATTAGCCTAAATATAATGAGAGTCACACAAATCTTATATTTTCCACAAAAATGTAAAAAAAGCCATATATGTGTTTTTTTTGATAGAATATGAAAATATTGTTATTATATTTAAAAAAAGTCACTACATCGATACGATACGAATATTAACATGAAACTTATGACTCTTATGCTTTAGTAAGAACAATGGTGTTGTGCTAATATTTTTTTTGCCGGAACGCTAAAATTTAAAATCCGGTTCATAAAATTTGATATATTTCGATAAGAACTCACAAATTTAATATATTGACTTCTTATATAATTAACTCTATTATATACAGCTAGTCTATACATTAAATTGTACAAGTATGAGGGAATCATTGAGTACATAATTTATATTCTTCAATGACATTAATTATATTTATTTTGGTATTATTTGTACTCATTATTAATACCTACAGGTATATATTATGATATAATAGTACTCAAGATTTATTACAATACTTTATAAGACTTAACCTAATAATATGATAGATAACCTATTACCTATCATACTATACTATATTATTGTACATCATATATAGATATCTATTATCTATCATACCGTGAGATACCTACTCTTACTATACTCTTATAAATACTACTGTCTAATTTATATATTCTATTAATAATATGATAGATAACCTATTACCTATCATACTATACCACATTATTGTATCATACCGTGAGATACCTATACCGTCATTAACTAACTTATTATATACCTACATACCTTTTACTTCTTATAAATACTACTGTCTAATTTATATATTCACCTATATTATATAGGTTTTATCTTACGCCCTATGTATTTTTTTTTATTATCTCTATTGTCTATACCGGGATTTGAACCCGAGACCTCTGCGTGGCAGTCGCGCGCCTTAACCACTACCCTATCGGGTATCCCCACCAATAATATAATATGGGACGCACTGTTGTTACCGCGGGTCATTTTCTAATTAATTAGATAATTAATACTAAGGTGGCGCGACGACGTTAGGGATGCGTATTTACCTAAGCTATGGAAATATATGGAAAAATTATATGATTTGCACATGCATCCTGTGCTCACTTATTAATCTTTACTTATTAAATCATTTTCTGTATGTAGCGATTTTTTCATATTTTTTCTTGCCGGAACGCGTTCCGTCCCAAAAATGATTTGCCGGAACGACGTTCCGGCGCGTTCCGGCTCGACAACACCACTGAGTAAGAATTATTACTAAAAATATAAATTGTCAAGCGTTGCCAGCGAAATATTTAGTATGGCATATATTTATTTCTTTCATATAGCGATAAGCCAAATCGAAGACGTTGTTAGACCCTGTTTTATCGTAAAGTTTTAGTCGGATTAATAATAATTTATCATCGAATAGAACAAGCGTGCGTGTCTACGCTACGTCACATTGAACAGCAACGAAGGACTGTGCAGGAAAACACAGCCAAAGAACTTGCGGCAGCTCGAGCAGATCTCGACGGTAAAGACCAGATTATCAACGCACTCAAGGCGCGTTGCCGAACTCTCGAAAGCGAAAATGACACCCGCAAGAAGCGCGTTAAAACACTGCTCGAAAAGGCCTCCAATGACAATCAATACATCCATGCTATACAAGTAAGTTCGAAAAGGAGAAAATTTTATTTCACTATTTATCAACTTCTATCGTAGTACCTAACTTGTAAAAACATCAAATGATTATGAATCATATATAAATATATAAAAAACCAATAAAGTTTGATGTTTCAAGTCAGCGTTCATTTAAAATGGTCACATCTAAAAGATCGTTAAATGAATCAAGTAAAATTTCGATAACAAACTTATTTTTAAGAAAATCGACTTGTTAATCTACTAAGTAGCATTACTGATTTATATAAATCAACGCAAACTATAACACAGAAAAAAATATCTGTATTCGGTGTGAGCATATGTTTTCCAATGTAGTTTTCACCGCTGATTACAAATCTCAAGTCAAAAATTGGGGAGTCAAATGTCAAAAAATTGAAAAAAATCAAAATAACGACCAAATCCTTGATATAGTAATTACTCTCCATTATAATTAAAATCTTATAATTTCTGTCGTTTCCTTACCCTTTTTACTTTAAAAGTTTCAATTATATGATCTACCACAAGTTTTGTTTTGTAAAAATTGGCAGCAAAATTACTAGATCGGTGATTTTATCGTTTTTTTTTTAATTTTTTCTTTCATTTTTTCCCATTAACTTCAAATTTTATGTTTTGATTCGTGTTCAGCGGTAAAAACTACATTGGAAAACATATGCCGGACTCCCAACCAGACCACATTTTTTGTGGACCTGTGAAATTATTGCAATCCCCAAAAACGGTTACGGTTAGTTTTTATTTTCGCTCGGCAGAATCCAAATCAACTTCGGCTAAAATCCTTCACTGCGGTAAATGTTATTGGATAGTAGTTCAAAATTAATAAAAACTTTTGGTTGCTTAAAATAGACTTACTTTCGCTTTTGCCATATGCAACGCTGATGGCTACTATTTTTGATCTTTATAATTTATGTAACCCTTAATTAGTCGAAACTTTGATTGAAAATTATCTGTTTGTTTTTTTTCAAGAATCGTTAATAATAAAGAAATTTACATATAACAACACAACCTTAAAATCTTTTTGCTACAATTTTTCTGTACAAAACAAGTGTGACGATCAAGCCGCAACGATATTACTCTCCGACATCTTCACATCAATTCAAAATGTCGCCCTAAACATTATGATAAAACTGTTTTATAGACAAATTTGTTATTTATAATGCATCTTATATCAATTTATTTACTATTATTTTCAGATTTAAGACTATTATTAAATTTTATATTATTTACATTTTCAGCTTAATATCAGTCAAGTAGCAAAAAAACATTCTTTAGAATTGAGGGAAAAGTCTCTTGAATGTGACCAGTTGACCAGCAAAATAGCAGACTTAGAGGTAATACACGATTATTTATTTTTTTATTGTTATATATAAGATATTTTTTTAAAATATTTGTATTTGTAAATATTTGTGTATATTATTTATAATTCAAATTATCTTTTTACAAACCTCAAAAAAAAATAGTTGTTCTTCAATATGCACATTTTTGCATTTTCCATATATTTAGGCGGAACTCAATACATTGAAACAAGACAACAAAGGACATAAATCTTCTTCTCAGGAAAATGCTAGCACCAGTGACTGTCAACGCAAACACGTCCCAGATCAAGACAAAAACGCGCCTAATGTAAATATCCTATAAAATTGAATGAACTTATTAAATAGATATATAACTTATATATTTAGTATTTAAACCAAACAATTTTAAACGTATGACGGAAACAGATGTAACACATTTTCTTCTAAAAACCATCTACCGAAATCGAATACAGTTGAACGATGGTGGTTCCAAAATTTCTTGACAATTTCAAAGAATAATGTAAAAATTACAAATTACAAAAAGTTTCTTAAAAATTTATTCACAATGAATTAAAAGTAGTAATATTTTTTGGAATAGTATCGATCAAAAAATGTAAATTTGTGTCATAATATAATAATATCAATTCTATATAAAACAGGATCATTATCAAAGTATTGCTGAAGCCGCGGAATCAGAGCGGCAAAATATTGAAAAGATCCTGAGCATCACTCACGAGAGATTAAATAATGAAGTTAGGAAGAGCGTCCTATCTCACAAGTACATATTTAATAGTCCATTATTTCAAAGATTAAAATTCCGAAAATTTTCGAAAAAAAAAGTCCATTAAATTTTAATAACTGACATTTTTTATCTTTTTCTTTAATTTATTTAAACATTTATTGTAAGTTTACCCTATATGGTGTATCAAAAATAATTTCCTCAAATATCAGCGCGGATTCAACACAACACGTAAGAAAATATTACGTTGAATAAAAATTGTTGACATCTATCATGTGCGAACTTTCTAACATTAAGATAATGACGTTACTTGCAGAAACCAACTAGAATATTTTTGATGTATTAGAATGACTTGTTTCGAGTTTACTAACGTCATTGCTCCTCCGTGCAATATCAATTTAATGCATATGTATATTCAAGAATTTGAAATGTATTTTTATAATTATTGAGACAAACTAAATAAAAAAATAGTGGAGCGCATGGCATCGTGCCTTAAGGCAAATTGCTGGAACTTCCCGCACCAAAAATTATTATTTTTTTAAAAACTATTAACATTTTTGAAAAAGTTTTACTTAAAAAAAAATTATATTTTTGAGAAACTATAAATTTGACACAAAATTACTTTTTATGAAAAAAACAATTATTGAAAAAAAATGTTTTCTTCATTTTGACATATTTTGGACATTCTGAACATTTTTTCAAAGTAATCGTACTGCTTTAACTGTATAGAGACGAAATGACAAAACGCGTAAGCGCCGCGTCGCCGTCTAACGGATAAACATTGGTACGGAACCCATAGGAATGTAAACAAAATTTATACTTGTTGTTAAAATCTCTATACAATATCTGATAATTTGATGCGCATATGTCTAATGATCATTTTTGACCGCCAAATGACATTTTTTTTACTTTTTTTATTAGATCTCCGAAACCGCTAGACCTGCCTTCATGAAAATTTGATCAATTCTTCATATTGTCAATACAAGTAAAATGTTTTTTGAATTATTAAAATCGGACGCTCCGTTCTCTTAAAAACTGAGTTAACATTTTTGGCACTTTTTGCCCAGCCCAGCCTTCGCCAAAAACTAATCAGCGCGTCTCCTTATCAATACAAATCTAATGTTTTCTAAATTATTGAAATCGGTTGATCGGTGTTCCCGAAATCGTCGACGAAAATTTGTATCCGCACACACACATACACACACACATACATCCATTTTTCTAAGGTATGCCAAAATGTTCAGAAGGTTTTGAAACGGAAAGATATATACAAATTTTCATTTTCGATTTTTTTTCGATTACTATAACTTGCCCTACAGGAAGTTAAAAAATATTAACTAACATCAGGATTTGTAGCAGCAAAAACAATAAATATTTTATTTTTAGAATTAAATAAAAAACGTTTCAAATTGATAATTTTCAGAAACTAATATCATAACCATTTTATGATATTTATTTTATAAAATTAATGTGTTTCTTGTTAATATATATGAATGTACTAATAAATAAGTACTAATTAATAACCAGTTAATTCAGCGGTTTCCAACCAGTGGGGCGCGTCCCCTCAGGGAGGCGACATGCTGTTCTAAGGGACAAATTGAAAAATCTTCTTACTAAATTTTGCGTCTTTGTGAACATAAGCATTTATAACATACGTATTAAACTAAAAACCGATTATATTTAATTATTTAACCCTCCGTCGGTCGGCGTGGTCTGGCCAGACTTTTTTCGACTTCAATTAGAAAAATAAAATACTTCTAGTAATCCTATCGACTTGAAATTTCTTGACTTTTCCTAAAATTTCATTAGCTGTCGATCAATGAAAAAATCAGAACAAAAAAATTTACAGAAGGATAATTATAAGGATTTAATTTTTTTTATACTTCGAACGGTCGGAAAGGTCTGTCTAGATCACCCATACATTTTGTATGAAATATACGCTTTTTCATGGTATTTTCTATTCAAACTGCGTTGTTTATATTCTTTGCTATGTGTTCTAACATGAATGTTAGTATTTTCATGACGAGAGTTTCTTGAAAACCTACCAAACTTATTGGTAATCGCAAACACTGAAAATCGGATGAGTAATGCACACATTCATTCAGGCGCCAAAAAGAATAAATACTGTTTTTCATTGATTTAAAACAGAAAAATTAACAAAAAAAGCAACGTTTTTTTTATATTTCTTGATTTTTTTTATATAATCGTTAATACATAAGACACCAAAAACTCATTTATCCCATATAAATGCATGTAAAATGAATGGTGGTCCAGCCAGACCTTTCCGACCGTTCGAAGGTGAAAAAATATCCGACCGACGGAGGGTTAAGTAGAAGTGAGTTTTTAAGAATAGCTTTGATCGAAATTAAAAACTTATCAAAATATACAGTATAAAATGCTTTATGTATTTAAATAGATAAATCTCAATTCATATTAAGGTAAAATAACACAGCTTCTGAAATATTTTAAAGAATTTTCACAATATATTTGGTTTTTTTTTTTCAAAAATTTTAATTTAAATGGTATATAGCCACTGCTTTATACGCATGACGAGTATGCCCGCCAATACACAAAATTCTGCCATGAACTTGTACATTCGACAATTACAGTTAACTGGTTAAGCAAGCTCGAAATTAATCACTCGTAGCTACTGCGCATCTACGTGAATTCCTCAAGTTTTGCTCCTAGTCAAAACAAATAATTTTATTAACCCTTCGAGCAAATAAATCCAATGCCTTACATAGTTAGTATAGTATGTTCTATTTTATAAGTATCGAAAATGACCACAGATCCTATCTATCAGAGCGAGGAAAGTGTGCACAATTGCGTAGCCGCCTGAATATTCTCGAGCAAGAATTTAAAAAGCTACGTAAACGACAACACGCAAGAATGGGCTTACCGATTGAATCCTCGTCATCAACGGGTTCGGTTGCGTTACAATTAGAAGAGTTGCGAAATAAGTAAGTTATGATAATTATTATTATAAATGAATACTTTAAACTTTGCAATAACTTCGCCACAATGCTTGCCATTTCCGTAAATTAAAAGCACGAATAAAAAATATCTGAAAAAAAAAAACAAAAACAACGTAAAAACACGCATCCCAAAAACTTAGCACCTTGTACTGTATGAAAAAAAAATAAGATTATAATCTAGAAAAAAATGACTTGTTCTTTAAATTTTTCCGTGTTCCGAAATAAAAAACGGTGTCATAATGTTCAAGATTTATCTTATTAGATCGTGATAAAATAATTTTGATTTCTGAATTACAAATGCTTATATAATTTAATGATAAAAATTACAATTTCTCAAATGATATCTAGTGATTTGAAGATAATTGCAATAAGAAGTAATCTATTTAAAAATTTCGAAATATGCATTCATTAGACTATAAGGTGTTCATATCTACAAGTTGTTAATGTGTCCTTTTCTATTGAAAAAATAGAATACTTATGTATTTAAATGTTAATTATTGACTATTATAACTATTTGTTTCGTTTTTAATGGTTATATTTTTTCAAGGTTGCAAATATCCGAAGAAAGAAGCATAGCTCTAGATGAAAGAATAGAATCTATTCTTCAAGAAAGAAGCCATGATATTTCTCGAATAGAAGATATGATTAAAAACACCCGGGAAATTTTTAAAAGGCATGATTCAAATAGTTAGGTTTTTTATATATGAAATGTAAGATATACTTTTGATTTATTCAGCACAATTAGAGTTATTTTGTACACGTACTTTTCTTGAAACTCCGAGAAATACATTATATTGATTAAATATACATAGCGCATTAAAATTCATATTCAATCTTATACTATTGGACAATTTTGCATATTTTCTCATTTGTTGTAACAGTCCCATTAACAGAAAAATTCAAATGCATTTGAGTGATAATTTGAATGGAGGAAAAGACAAACAAAATATTCACTTCTTTCGTTCCTCGAGATATTGAAATATTATAATAAAATTATTATAATATAAAAAAATATTTAAACCAGAAGTGGCAAAATACATTCGTGTCACAATCAAGAAAGTTTGATGGTTATGACCATTATATTATATCATAATTGGGCAAATTATAACGCATAACACAAATCATAATTTTCAATTTAAATTCACAATAATAAAAATATAGCTTATAAAGTCAAGTTCAATTTAAATTATAATCAATTAAAATAAAATATATAAATATATATATATATATATATATATATAATACAGTTCTACCGGAAAGTTCTGTCCAAAGTTATGACAGTTTTGCAACGATTGTTTGCATGACCGGTACAAATTTTAACCAGGAAGAAATGCTACAGAAACATGTACATTTTTTTTAAAGTGTTTGATGAAGGTTCAGTTTCTGATAGGATATGTAAACGTGTATGATACACGTCACATCATACAACAATGTATAATAGGATGATTTTGACCTTTTCGTTCCGGAGAGCATTTGATCGACGACAATGTTGTTAAGTTAATGTTGGACCAAGATCTATTTCTGACAACATCGGAGACCGCAAAAAGGTTTAATTAAGCTTAAACAACCATTTTGATAATATGCTAACGTATGATTGGTGTAGAAATATTCAAAAATAGAGCAACATGAAGTCAGAAAACTTTGGATGATTGAGACGTCATTTTCTCATGTTTACTTTCTCGAAACAAAATCTAGCCCATTTTAAACCCCTAGACAATATTAGAATATGATAATTCATATTCATGGAACAACCTCTAATTATCATTTATGTTTGTCCTTAATTTTTTTTTTCAAAAATTCAAAATCAAAGATGTCAAACAAGCACTCGTTCAATTTTTTCCATCTAAATCAAACATTTGTCATAAATGGGATAAACAAATTGTACTCACGCTGTCAAGAGATCATTAATAATAATGTTAATGTCTTGAAGTTAATTGGCAATGAAGTTAATTCGTGAAAGAATTTTGTTTTATGCCACTACTTTCCGATAGACCTAATATATGCAATGTTACCAGCAATAATAAAATAAAATGAGATTACTTACCATCTCTCATAGTCCTAAGGAGACATCGACAGAGTACTCGAGAAATTATACATAAAAATACATTTTGAAAATTCTTAAATATCAAGCCTTGCATATCTGGATTCTGCTGGAAACTAAATAAAAACAATATGTAAATTTCACATAATAATTCTCATAAAAATAAATCCATTTCAATAAAAAATTAAAATTGAATTGAAATATACTTATAAACAAATATAATAATCTTAACATAAAATCGATAAAAATTATTGAAGTAACTAGTTGTTTAAAAAATTGTCATGCCGGCAAAAATTAGAAAAAAAATATCCCATGGGATTTTAAGTCAAATTGTGAAAAATGTTTAGTTATTATAGGTAATTGTTATTATTTTTATCATTTGACAAAGTGACAAAAAAAATTGCATATACAATCAGTTCAAATGATTTTGTCTCGCTCATTAAGCTTGTGCGAATAATATTTGTCTGATATAGTCAATATATTTATGTAATAATAGATTTAACGATCTACCATTCTGCTCAAATTTTTTAAAAACTTCACAAAAAATATTGGGGCAAAACCGGACATGAAAAACTAAAAGCAACTATATAAAGATATATAGTACACACGTATGAATGTAATCGTAATGCATTCTAATAGAATGCAAAATATTAATTATACTTAGGACTTATTATTTATCCACTTACATCGCAACAGAAAAACGTAAGTCATATTAAAGAGTGTTAAAATCGGTAAAAGAGCTATTTTCAATTAGATTTTGAGTTTATAAAAAAGCGTAAATTTCACATGAAAAAAACATTTTTTTTCAAGGGTTGTCCAACCCTAACACTTTAAATTTTGGGGCCAATTTTCTTTATTTATTTGTTGAAAATTTGCATGAATGAATTTGTTGAAATTGAAATTTAAATATACATTTCTAAATTTTCACTCTCCTATTTCATAATAGTCATTTTAGTAGCCCAATCTTTTTTATATGATTCGATAACTGATCAGTTACTACCTTTTTGTGAGCTTATATAAAAGCTTAAATATATCCGCTCCAATATTTTCAAAACAATTCTTAAATATAGGCGAGAAACTGGATCAAATTATCGATCGATTTTTGCATAATCACTGATTTAATTTGCAGAATTATCGTACAAATATGTTCCGATGTGCACAGGAAATACATGGCTTTTAAATGTCTTGCAAAAGGAGTTTTAAAGAGGAAACTGGAATGTTAGTATTTTGATCCGTAATTTAAAATTTAATGAATTAATGAAATGAAAATGTGCCAATTCAATTTGCATGAAATCAGTTTCAGATCAGGTTGGACCTGGCAATGACTATTATTAATATGCCCCAAGAACATTTATACGTAGTATAATTTGCTGCAGTGGGTAAATCAATTTAATTTGTGTTAGCTGCTGCTTTCACTTATATTCCACATACTTCTTCATTCAGAATTAGTTATTTTTCATACTAAAAATTTTATAAAAATATTTCTTATAGTTAAACAACGTTTGCCGGGCCAGCTAGAATATATATATATATATATATATATATATATATATATATATATAGGTAGGTAAAGATATAAAAATATAACAGATTCAAAGCCAAATTTTCTTGGAAAAGTTTATAAACAATTTGATATTCGACATTTTTAAAAATATAAACAATAAATTTAAATATTTCTACTTTTACAATGTGTGTTCAATTGGAATATATTGAACCACGTAAATTTTTAATACAGTATTTTATAGAAACGAAATCTATGAGTAGAATGATGCACCAGGTTAACAACAAATACGCTTCGCTATTATATAATCAATTATAACATTATTATTGCTCAAACATTTACCTAATAGAAGTATCTCAAATAAATATTGTCACCTAATATATTTGAATGATAGGGATTTCATGATAACTTTGTTTTCTAATCTTATTATATTCTCTTGATTCGTAGATATGTGTATTCTATTCACATCAGATATTTCAAAAGTGCGGATAAACACACAATCACTGCACTCGTATTATCTGCAAAGAAAACAAATTAAAATAAATTCAATAATTAAACATGTTTTTAATTGCACGTTAAATATGTACAACTGAAATAAAAGTAATATGTATATTTTTTGTCATGGGCGAAACATGTAGAGCGAAACAAAAGATAATAATATAATTAATATATTAATATAATAGAAATTAAAAAATGCATTTTGATATTTAAAATAAAAAATAATGAAATCAAAACATGTACAACAATAGAAACAAACCAGGATATACACAAACACACGCTAGGCAGATTGAAAACTTGTATTTCAAACACTCTAAAACAAATGCCAAATAAAAAAATGATGATCAATAAATCAACGATAAACATTAGACGATTTAAAACATAAATAATATACAACTATCTTATAAACATCTTTGATCGCAAGTACATAGATTACGAAGTGGGCATATATCTAATATCGATATAATATATATTGCAAACACAGATAATAATTTTATATAACCATAATTTCATATAAATAAATACGATATGAGCTATAAAATTTACTAAATCTTATTTCGTTTATAAACTTTAAATAAATATTAATTCTTCAAAATTCAATAACCTTAATGATCATCATGATTATATGATAGGTTTATCAAAATATTTCAAAATGATTTCATCTAACTAAACTATACCATATTCTAGTCACAGTTGTTCTAATATTTGACAGATGTTTTGAATAGCTTAATTTGAAGTCGCTAAACATATTTTACATTAGTTATTGATTTTTTCAATTTTTACGTTTATTCTTTACTAATAAAGTAATTTTTATATTTGTTTTCTCGAGGTCCACCACCGATGTGTCCAAAACCAGTAAAGTTAAGCATTGTTTAACAACAATATTTGAAAGTAGAGGGAAAAGGATGTATAACCAGCTATAACCTTGATTCTCATGACCCTGCTATCGGAAGATAAAGAGTAATCTTTGAAAATCCAAAATAAAAGTATTTTCTTCCGTTGGTAGTATTTTAGCATTAGTTAAACATGTAATTATTTTGTAAAATACCTTTAAAATTAAAATAGGACATTAAACCTGTTTGCCACCTGGCCGTTCCAAGTTACTACGCCTATACGGTAAAAAGGTCTAGATAACAAATTGAAAAACAACAAAAAAGCACATTTCTACAATGATGAAGTAGCTGACAGTTTTACTGAACGTAGTCAGATAATTGTTCGTTTGAAATGTGTTATTTGTTGTGATATAATTGATTTGATTTTTATAATATACTTAATATTTGCTCAAAGTCAAATTGGACCTTTGTGCCTCGCTCTGCTCTACATATATACTTTTTATTAAATTTACTTTAATTCATCGAATGTTACTTGAAACTTTTCAAAAAGCAGGTCAAAGAAGAAATACTTAATTCATTTTCTATCTTTCCTCGCAGAAATTTAAAATTTTTTTATAAGCTCAGTAGTATTATTTGAAATTATACACCAAATCCAGAATCAAAAAACGACTTGGTTTGGATTATACCATGTTTTCTATAGAAAGTGTATAATACTTACAGTTTGATTGTATTGACAAAATATAGACACTGAGGTTTATAATACCTCATTGTATATAACATTCAAACAACACATTCTTTATTCACTTAAAGTATTAATTTAATTGATTCTCTAGTAATTGTTTAGAATGTACCTTACTTAGCAAAACAACGTTTGCTGGGTCAGCTAGTATATATATATATATATATATATATATATATATGTACGCGTAAAAAATATTCTTAAAAAAATTGACATAAAATAAAATTAATATTCTTACATTTGTTTGCGACAGAACTTGGCCCTCTTGCTGTGACCACGTTGGACTCCAGATCATCTGAATCTTCCTCCTCTAGATGCTGAATTTCCCCGTAATCTTCGCTGTAAAACATGTACGAGGCCTCGAAGCCGGTTCCATCTAAACGATCATTTGAGCGAAAACTGACCCGAAAGAAATTATCTTCCGAATCTATAGTGAATTCTTCAACTTGGCCGCAGTGTCTCCGATGTTTAGGGTCGTGAGTCATATAGTTTGAGAACTCGACATAATCACTTGCGCTGACAGCCTCACACCTTAATTTTTTTTTTAAATGCATGTTATAAATGCTATAAAGTAACATTCGAAATTTAATACGATGTCTTTGCATCAATTGATACTTTCCAAAAATAGTATATAGTAAAATTTAACAAATCCGAATATTTCAAAAATGTGAATGTAATTATTTATGGCAAAATGCGTTAAAAAATCATATCGATTTAAAGTTTATACATGATTAACCAAGAATTAAAATATAGTTCGCAATAAATAAATTCTAAAAATATTATCAATACATGGAGAAATACGATCAATAATATTATCAGTGCTTCCTAATTCCTTAAAGAATCATAAGTTACCTACTATTTATACTAAAAATAACGTTTATATTAAAACCGCAAATAGACAATAGAAATTATTATATTAATAGAAGTATCAGTTCGGGCTATGATCGAACATCGCGTTACTTAAGTCCATAATTTTAAAATAAGATCACATGCCTTTCAATATAATGTTAGAAATCATAATACAAATATAAATACAAGCACTCAAAGGAATGGGAAGTCATTTAACAATATAGCGATCTTTCATATGTTATAAAGCGTTTTATAATTTTTAATTACATTATATTAGTTGTTTATAGATGAATAAGAAAAATTAGTGATACTGTTCCTTAAAACTTGTATTTATCGCAATTATAAATGATCACTTACGGTAATACACCTTCTACATCAAAATATGTGAAGTGAAGACGAACTCGCAAACCTGGAGCGCCGCGAAAGTAATAGCGGCATTCTGTATCACGAGGATACGAACCCGGAAAATTTGGGGATGTGAAAATTCCTGACATCCGAGAACTGGATTCAAAAGAAAATGCGCATGGTTGTTCCGCTACTTGTCTTCCACTAGTTATGCCAAAATCTATAAAACATTTGAAAATAAATTAAATCACATTACAAAAGTAAAAATGAAAAAAATGCCTACGAAACTATAACAAAGTAACCTTAATGTTGAATTATATATCACAAAATACATAAAAATGATAAGTTCGATATTTGAAAAAAAATAACTAGAATGTTATGTATGTACATTTAATTCTCCGTCGGTCGGAGTGGTCTGGCCAGACTTTTTTCGACTTCAATTAAAAAAAAAAATACTTTTAGTAATCCTATCGACCTAAAATTTCTGGACATTTCCTAAAATTTCATAAGCTGTCGATCAATGAAAAAATCAGGACGAAAAAATGTGTGGCCCAGCCAGACCACTCCGACCGTTCGAAGGTAAATAAATATCCGACCAACGGAGGGTTAAACAAATAAATAATTTTAAAAAATCTAAGATTAAAATTTATTTAAAATCCATACGTTTCGGCTAACATCCTAGCCTTCATTTGGTGGAATATTCTGCCAATTACAATAATTAAACTAAGTAAATAATTTGTATTAGTTTAAAAAAAAAATAATGAAAATAATAAACTAATCTAAAAACAATTACAATTTGGTAAGTTAATTAATGAAATACTATTGCGCCATGGTATTAAAATGTGCACTATTGTAAAATCTATATATTTTGGCATCACAACAAAATACATGTATAATATTTATTAAGTTATCGAGAATGTGTACTAACTGTTCTGATAGAAATGCATTTTTTTTGGAAAAGAAAATATATAAATATACTTGTCATAAAAGTTTGTACATGTATTCGGCAAATTGTGAAAATGGCAATAACTATAGAATTTTGTCTTTAAAAAAAAATCAACACGCAATTCAAAAACCATGTATTTGTTTCGTTCAGAGGTGTAAAGTCGTTTCTTTTACTTAAGACCTTGTCGCTATATAATTGGATAAACAACCATTCAACAAACCTTCTTTGATTAACTTTGATTAATTATTTAAGGGTTAACTAGTTGGTATTGGTATTTTGCGTTGAGGCAAGTTACATGAACTACCCGATATGTGTAAATAATCGACTTAATCAATAAAAAATAAATTAATTTATGAGTGATTAAAAGTATAAAACTAATCAGTGTCATTCCCAACTAATATCCTTCGAACAGTTTTTAATTTTTTTAAATCGATTCGGTTGTATGAGCTTAAATGCGGACGAAATGTTTAACACTTTTTTCCAAATTACAAAGAAACGACTCGTCTGATCGTCGAACAAAACTGAAAAACGATAATCCTTTTAAATTTCTGAAATCGATTCAGGCGTTTTTGAGCAAACGTCGATAGAAGGCCTAATTTTGACAAACGCCAAAAAAACGATACTAATTATTGCAAACTTTGACGAATTTTTAAAGTTAAACGAGTTGTCGTACAGCCGTAATATTTTAATATGATCTAGAAGACTATGGTATCTACCGTTAAAAAATATTAATAAAAATCGTTTAAAATTTTTTTTAACACTTTGTTACAAAGATAACGGCCCGGCCGATCTTTACCAAAAACTATGATCAGCACGATTCCCAAACAATATCTTTCGAACAAATTTTGAGTTTTTAAAAACGAATCAGAATCGCGGGCTAAAACGTGGACAAAAGATTTTTCACTTTTCTGCTATTTATAAAAAAACGGCTTGGCCGATCGTCGCACAAAACTGACAAACAATAGTCTTCAACGAGATACATCAAATGGTTTTTAAATTTTTGAAATCGGTCCAGCCGCTTTTGAGAAAACATCGATTTAGAGCAAAAAATCTGTTCACGCACACGCACACACACATGCTTTTTCCAAATTTAGTCTCATTCAAAACATAAAATTAGTGAATCGGATTTTTTGATGAAAACAAACTTCTCCTTCGGAAAGTTAAAAAAATCTATGCTATGGTTTAAATTGTTTATATGGTCTGTAATCATAGTTTCAAATTCAAGAAGTTCAAATTAGTAATTTTATTAGTTTTTGAATTGTTTTTGTGTTGATATAGGCGTTTGCAAACAGTAAACAATTTAAAATTATGATTACAAGGCGTTTTTGACGTTATCATTCATAATCTTGAAAGTCGTTAAAATTTTATTTATTATGTATACAATCATCTCCAATCATAAGTTGGAACAAACCTGAAGTCTCATCATAAGCTCTTCATCAAAAAAGATTCCGAATACCGAATAGCAACCAAATATTCAGTGCAAGCCTACTTTAAACAAATTTTCTATCAATTCATTTGTATTTTACGGCTACGAAATCAAGTGTAAATTTGTGAATTTTGATTATTATATTGGTTTCGAAATGAAACTTCTATCGTGACTTTCGATTATTATCCTACCTTCTGTAAATCTATATACTGCTTTAAAGGAACGCGGTGGACCTTCTACGTCGCCATCACCATTGAATTCTAGCAGCATGCGAGCACCGTTCGACATGACGGGGCCGGGCAAGCGATCCGGACCCAGAGTGCATAGAGATTCGGTTTTCTCCATTCGACCTTCAATCGGCACATATATATCGATACGGTCGCTATTGTCGCACCTGTGACGAACATTAATTAGTATTTCATAACAGTTCCTAAACAATTATACTGATCAACTTTCCAAAGGAAGAACCAACGAATATATAGATCGATTGCAAATTCTGCCCATTATTAACGCAAAATTCGTTTATGCGCATAATTATACAAACTAGTGTTGTGCCAAGTCGAATCAAGTGATTCGAATCATTCGAATCAAGCCTTTAACGACTTGATTCGAATCAACTCGTATCAAGCCGCGAAATATTTACTGTGATAAAACATGTATGAACACAAATTTTCATAAATATAAAAAAAATGTTTTAATTTAATTCGATATTATAATAATATAAATAATAATAATAATAAATATAAAAATTAATAATAATAAATATAAAAAATAAATCTTGAATTAAATCATGCGAGTCACCCGGCTTTAATACGCTTAAATGTATCACCCGACTCCAATTTACATGACTTTAACCCCATTCATTGTCTAATAATACCATCCGACTCCATATGACCCAAACCCAATCATTCCGACTTCAAGTCGATATGAATTCATCCGAGTTCCTATGGCTCAAACCGACTCATTCCGACTCCGCAAATTTGTTCATGAAATATCAAAAACTCATTTAGATAATGAATACGCGATTTAGATTTTAATTATTATCAAAATAAACTACACAATGAGTTTTATACACATACAAAATTATCATATTTTAATTATGCAAGTAATGGCAAATTCACACAAATGAAATAATATCAATCTTTACAGTAGTGGATTGAATTTTAAGTCATTCGTAAGATGTTAGATTCAACCCCCTGTTTAGATTAGATCTAAACAATCAATAATATATACATGCATTCGTTCAACGTAAGATTAAGAATATTGTTTTATATGCTTTAGTGATAGAGAAGTGTTTGGTTATATTTTACTGTAAATTCACTTGAAATATTAGTTATATTTGTAGCTAGTTTATTATTATATATATATATATATATATATATATATATATATATATAATATAAATGTATTCATCTCTGCACTTCTTCGAATTAATTGCTTACTAAATTAATTATTTCACTTATAAAATTATTAAAATGATATTATTTCTTCTCTTAAATTATAATTGTTCAATATATAAACTTGATTCGAATCATGATTCGAATCAGATTTTTTTCTGATTCGATCACTCGAATCAGGAAATTTTCGAGTCGGCACATCACTAATACAAACTATTAGATAAAAATAAGCTTCGTTTACCTCCAATTTACGATTTTATTTCTTTGTGCACGAAACAACTAAATTTATTTTCTTTGGGCATTATTTTGATTTAATTCATTTTGAAATAAACACAACAATCCAGCCAGATCACAGAAAGCTCTGTTGCTTATCTGTTGTACTTTATAATCGCCGATTAGTAATTTAAAATTAATTTATGCTATTACAATATTACATTAATTATTACAATTGATGCAATACTTGACACATAAAAATAAAATTTATTGATACGCATTTTATAAAATACAAAATTCTAATACTTACTCTTTCGTGTCAACGCTTACACCAGGAAGATCAAAGTGTGTGAATACAATTTGAACTCTTTCTTTACCACGTCCCTGAAAATAATTTAAAATTATAATACTATGTAGTAAAACTCTGTACGGATCGAAGACATAAACTTTAAGAAAGGCCGACAAGAAGTATCTGGAACGTTTTGAAATGTGGTGCTGGAGGCGGATGGAGAAGATAAAGTGGACAGACAAAATAACAAATGAAGAAGTCCTGAGAAGAGTGGGCAAAGAAAGGACTCTAATAAGCACAACCCTGGAAAGAAAAAAAAACTGGATCGGACCCCTTCTGCAAAAAGAGTGCCTCCTGCACGACGTCGTCGAGGGTAAAATAGAAGGACTGAAAGGAATGGGAAGAAGAAGATTGCAAATGATTGACGACTTACGCGAGAAGAGAAAATACAGGAAACTAAAAGCCGAAGCGCAAGTTCAAAAAGCATGAAAGCAGAAGTTCTGAAAGGAAAATACATGAAAAAAAGGGGGAAATAGTGGTAATGGGAATGATACACAAGGAACAAGAGAATCATTTATTGTGGTGGCTCTCGCACCATGTACCATAGACCTGCCTTCGGGCAGACTACCATTTATTAAAATTATTATTATGTAGTAATTATATTAGCAGTAGTTTTAATATCATTATGAACAAACGTTGCGCCCAAAATTATTTACAAGCATCTTTATTACCATCCGTGGATTAGAGGATTGAGCTATGGAATTTCAATTCAAGGGTCCCAGATTTGATATCCGCCTCGGATAGTCTAATATGAAACAGTAGTGACATTTTTACTTACAACAGAAGAATAGATAGCAATGGAATTCCATGTGAAAATAAATAACCCCTACCCTGCATTGCTACATCAATAAAAAAATCATCACTATTGCGGAAATTATAATAGTAAAGACTTAATGACAGAGATATAACAAAGTCAAATCTTCACAAAAGCTTATAAGACCCTCAAATTCTGATCGCTTACGATATAATATAAAAAAACTGTTTAAAAAATTTATTGTTAGAAATAGGGTCATATTTATGGTAATTCCTTTATTATTCGATGGTTGGTTGTAAATTAGTTTTAAGCAATAAATTTAATAGCATATATGATAAATAAATAATAAATAAAATATAAATAAGATATTATTGTATGTATCACATTTATTATTATTTAGTTCATATTAATCACTATAGCTCACCTGAAAATGAAACTTGCAGTGTGTCTTTGCTGGATAAGACGATGGATATAATGGTGATGTAAAAATCCCTTCTTTTGCAACATCGCTATTAAAAAATGAATCACAATCTGATGCTGAAATTTGAAATAAATATGTTATTATGATCCATAAAAACAAATTTTTATAAAAATACTTACATCCTGTGTGAACATTATTCAAAGCTGCATTGAAGATTCCGGCTGCATGCTCCAATATGTGATTAGAATCAATTTCTGTAAAATAAATATTATATACATATAACATTGAATAATACGTTAACATATTGTTAACAAATTTAATAGATAATTAAAACAATAAATTAGATCCTAATAATTTACCAAGTACCTACTAGTTAAAATTAATGTAGTATTTATATATTGTATTTATGTAACTATTTTTTCGAAACTATTCATATTTTATGACCTTAATTTAAAAAGGAAATGTTAATGCATAATGTAGAATCATTGAAAATTTGTAATTATTCACACATTTTGCATAAATTTCGCTATATAAGGTAACGTCATAAATTCATTTCATTCTTGACAATCGTATTATTAGCGATGTCAAATATTATATAGATAGAAACATTATTGATATTCAGCATGATTAAAGTTCGAAGTATATTATTGAGTACAAAGTATAATATGTGGGTATACTGGTTCCGATTTTAATACCCATGTCGAGCAGCTTGATATCAACTTCTAGCTGATTTTTTTAGAAAAACTTGACCACCGATAGAAAGTGCTGTGAAATACCTCTGACACTGCTAAAACCGATGTCGTCCGCAGCTTGATTTAGGGTGGAATGTTTATAAAACATATTTTAAACAATAAAATAATTGAAAATAAATCATAGGTTGCGTGGAATGGACGTTTGGGCTGTCAAACAGAAACACTTTGGCCGGTCGCAATTTAGGCCCCGTTTTATATATATATATACATATATATATATATATATATATATATATATATATATATACTCTTAATACTAGAGGTTGGCTTTATCATCGTAATAATTATAAAAACTATAGCTGTAGTAGTCATACGGAATGACCCTAAGACGCCACTAGTCTTTCCGCGACATTTTGTTACGGCGCCAATTCGGTTCAAATAATATCACGGAAACCTAGCACAAGATTGACAAGTTACAAACATAATCATTATTTATTTATTTATTTATTTATTCATAAGCAAGACGTAATCAATAATAATGGATATTATTTCAGGCTCTTGTCAAGCTTATTCATAGTTAATATTAAAAGAATAGTAGAATATAGAAAAGAATATAATTTTATAATAATCATAGTAGCTGCACGAATTTCGCTTTTGAAAAAAAAGAGCTGAAAAAAAGCATTCGAACATTAAATACAATGTTCATCATCAAGTTCATCATATTAAAGTATATTTGACCATCAGTCGAGCTCAAAATTCTTGCACAAGGTTGAAAGTTATACTCATTTAAAAAATTTAAATTTAAAATAGCAATAAAAAAATGAAAAAAAAAATGGTTGTACAGGCGATCAAATGGTCAGACTACATAGATACAGGATAAGGATTATGCAAGAAAATAGTTATTTTCTATTAATAATATGTTTCAACCAACCATGTAATCCTTGAAATTGAAACGTTGCTTTGAAACCATGTCCTGGTATATTTGATTTCGCAAAAAAATGAACTAGTAGTTCACGGCCTGTAGACAACACCTCTACTTCTGCGCCTTCATTGCATAAAGCGCGAATTACAGGTGCATTACGAGTTCCGCCATCGTGCACGGTGATTACATCATCACTGTCGGCGCAACTTTAATGATTTAAACACATTTTAGCAAAGAGAAGCAAAAGATTTTAGCAAAAAGTAAGTTCATGATTGATGCATTACCACCATGAAAAAATGAAAAAACTCAATATAGGCATCTAGCTTATTTTATTAGTTTAATGATACTGATTTTGAATGAAATAACGACAAAGATTTTTAAATTATATTAATAAAAATGCGAAATATTGTACGAAAAATAATAAAGGTAAACAAGCAAAAACTGGTATACCTTAAATCTCCTTTCTGCATAGAAAATTCTTCGAAAACGATTTTTATGCGCTCAGATGGCCTATAACATATCAATTATTTATATTATTCAGAGCTGAGTAAAATCACACAGTAAAGTGTTCCTCTTCAATTACTATAATATAACGAGCTATACCTGGCTCGAAAACGATATGAACAGCTCACTTTTCCTGGATACGTGGCCGGATATCGTGGGCTATGGAAATGACCACTCGAAGGACTAAGATCTCCGGACAAAAATTGGTGATCGCATTCAGTCCCAGCTAATTTTTGCCCATCAGTTCTAAATAACCCTAAAATGCACACCATATCATTATATAAGAGTTTAACCCACATTTAAAGCAGTATAAAAGAATAAAAATTCATATTGTAAAGAAAAATCAAATCTTTATTATATAAACCCTTACAATCTGAATTTTATTAAATTTTTATTTGTATTTGGTACTTAAAACATTTGTGAGCTAAAAAATAAATACCAATAGATTACGCTTAAAATAAAACTATTGGAATAATTCCATTTGAAATGTAATTACTCGGCGGTTCATCAATTTTATTAGCAAAATAATTGCACGACATCATCAACCACAAAATGAGTTGCGCTGGTAAGATATTGGATAAAAAAGATGGCTTTATTTTATAAAATTGAAAATTGCATTACAAATATTTACTTCTTCGACTAACAATAAGATAAGTATCGCCCATGTATTTACCCTTTTCGATTGTATATATCTGCTCTCAGCCACCATAGCAAGCGACTATATGAATCATGTACTGTATGCATTCATACAACATGCAGTAATTATAAAACATTAATTTTATTCAAAAAGATACTTTTAGATGAGTGAAACGAATAACTAGTGGCATCGTGCCTTAAGATAAATTGCTGGAACTTCCCGTACCGTAACAAAATGTTCGAAGAATATTGAATGTTTTTAAATAGATTATTATAAATATTGTAACATTGTCTAATATTTATAAGAATTATATAAACTGAATTGCAAAGTTGAAATTATTTGTTTAAAGTATATTAGAACTTTAGTCAGAATTAAAAATAAAATCTCGATTATTTTCGATATACAAAAAAATATATTTTGAAAAAAAAAATTGAAACAATTTTTTTTTTCAAAAGCAATTACTTTTTTGAAACAAGCAGAAAGTTTTTTGAATAATTCAAATCGGGCACTTAGTTCTCTCAAAAACTGCCATTTTTGCACATTTAGCTCTGTATCTTCGAAATTGATTGTTTGATTGAAAAAAATCATATAATTGATGTAATGTATATTACTTTTTAAAAAAATTAATGAATATAATAATATTTATTATAAAATCATGATATGTAGCATGTTTTTTTTGAATTTTTGGAAGGTCTTTTTGTACTAGTTCCTTGTCCCTTGGAACGTAACTACATGTTATGCCAGGTTTAGCTGTATTTATATATCCTACATTTTAAAAATCATTATCATAAGCGTGTGTGTGTGTTCGTGCAAATATATATTTAAAAGAAATAAAAATTATTGAATAATTTTGTGGTTTTCTCAAAAATCATTACATATCTTGATTTATTATTATGAACTCACTTTTATCTAAGAACCGAAATGTTCCACGGAAACCAGCTCCTTCGGGTAGATTATAATCTGGTACATGAAGCGATAATGCCAAGGAAGAACTAGAACTGTATATTGTGCGCGGTGCCTCTGATCGCCCACCACACACCATTCGCTCCCACGATGTTCGTTCGCCAATTTCTGCCTGCTCCAAATGCGGGAACAGTTTGACATGAGCACCGCGCGAACATCTGATGTAATAGTTAACAGCGTGAGGTTTATGTAAAATATCTAAACTGCAAATTCTCCATTTAAAAAATGAAAATAAAAATATAAAAACTTCACAATATGCAATAAGACCACGTCGTGCAATAAATTGTTTTTCTTCAGACTATTTTGTGTTATTGTTTCACATGAATCTCGCATATGCACAAGCATAGAAAGAAAAATACAGTCAGTCAAGTAAGAGCATGGTCGACTTTAACGGCAGTTAATGAAAGATTTCGGTATAATTCCTTCGCGAGCCGATTAAGAAAAGCTTTGTCCTTGATGCATTGTCAACAAAGGTTTGGTTGACGATGTTTTGCAAAAGAATCACGTTAAACGCCATGAGTGCTAAGCTGCACGTCGTGTTACGAGGCTAAACTCCTTCGCATCCTCCCAAAAGGCCCCCGAATGTCGCAATCAGCGGCTGCTAATCATATGAGAAAGTCGAAGGTATTTTACAGAATTGGATACGCCTATATAAAGTTGATAAAAATGTCTGTGATTTATCAGAACGTGGTTTGCATAAAAAACAAGAAAAAAGAACAGTGAATGTGTTTTCGCGGATTCCTGCTTTAACACTGCGGTAAGGACGAGCAAAATTTAGAAATATCTACAAAACTATCCGAAATGGCGCAACACAATGGGGAAGCCTCTGACGACTGTAAAACATGTGCTTCTTCTTCCGCTTGGGCACATGAAAATATTGATACAGATTTTGAAAATGTCATTTTTACTGATGAATGTTCTATGTGAGCACGTATTGTACTCACGCAGACCTTGAATTAGAATACAAGCCCTCAGACTAGAATACGTCGTTAAATTAGAAAAAAGCATGCGTCGGAGATGCCAGTCAATGTCGACTCCGGTGATGACAAGACACATATTGACCGAATTGCATCATTGCTTGTAAGGTGTACGATGCACATATAAATAATAAAGTTTCATAAAATAATCATTTTTATAAATTAACACAACCACGCTCTTACTTGACTGACTGTGACATAATATAGAATAAATATCCTTCCAAACCATTGAAGCATTAATAAACTACCATTTTATTGTGTTTATTACGATTTGATATAAAAAAGCCAAATGCAAAATTTTTTAAAGATTTTTTTAAAGTTAAGTTTGCATTTATTAGTTTAGCATGAGTAAATCTTAATTGTCTATTACATCTATATCTCCAATATATCAAGTGTATTTTATAACAGTTTTCTCACTCATGTTCTATCTACCATGAGAAATCTGGGTTGATTATTTAATTAGATTTTTAATATTTAATCTGCAATAAACTATTACTCACTCGCTGCCAATTTTGGGCATATGAAATTCGCTGAGAGTCAGCTCAATTATCTCATGCGGTTGGGCGATGAAAGTATACAGCAAGCATGTTGTCATTCCAGTGTACGCCAATGGAAAGTCTGGACTATGAAATCGACCAAAATCTTTTCCAAAAGTACTTGAAAATACTATACATTGACAATCTGCAAAGAGAAACAAAAACAGAAGTAATATAGATAATATAATAATTGAATAATTAAATAACAAAAAAAACTATATTTTTTTTTTTAATCTGATAAGTTCTTTAATGACCCAGATAGTTAACCAAAATATTTCGTTTCCTAAAATTTTGAGGAACCAGAAAATGATGAAATCACATAGATTAACATTGGAGCATTAAGCAAAGTGAAAAATTAAAATGAAATTAATCTCAAAAGGGTATTTACACCAAATCAAGTTAATCAGGTTTCCTGGGACATTTGACTTAAAAGTTAGCACTTACCTGGACCTAATCCGACAACAACGTGTGCCATTAAAAGACAATGCAAAATCCATATCCAAACAAAAGCGTCCTAAAATAAAAATAATAAATCATGATTTAGTTTACGAAATTAGATTTATTTTATAAAGCTATGATTTCCATTTCCAATCGGTGTTGAAAATATATTTAAATCATGTTACATTTGATTTTAAATCATTATATGTATGTACAACTTATAACGCTTATGAAAAAATATTATAGGAGACATAGTAGAAATGCATATATACAATATATCAACGGTAAATTAACTTACATTCATCATTTTAATCCGTAAACATGTCCTTGCAATAACTGTTCAAACATCACCTCACATCTTGAAAAATAATATTAATATATTAATAAAATTTGTTTAGTGATTGTTTGCAGCATTTGAAATTACCAATATAATTATTTTGTCCACGAAATTATGTATTTCAGGAGTTTAAAAGTCAGAAAAATCTTGTTAGAATCTAGGTGTCAAAAATTACCTCAAAATAATCCATTACTATTTAATTTTGTAACAATTATATTCATTTTAGAATAAAATATTTTTAAACAATTTTATTTCCATATTATCAATTGTTTATTTATGTTATTGAATAAACGCACACGTGCACAATATAAAATTAATAAGCACTTTATATTTTACTTTTTACACATAGATATAGTTAAATAATAATCTACAAACCACAATGTAATTCTTTATATGCAAACATTTATTTATTAATTATGATTTCATAATAAATAATTGCATAGATGTTTTTCCAGTTTTGATAATGGCAGTAGCAGAGAAATATATAATAACCTATATTGTCCGGAATCAAGCGTTCCGCGCATGCTTGTAGTAAATCGATTGATTTTCTACACGTATGAAAGTTACGGACGATCAGCGATCTTTCAAATTTTTGTTAACAATTTTCAAAGGTGCCATTGTACAAGGCCATTTTCAACAAACATTGAATTTTCAATTAGAGTCAAACTCGGACGCCGAATTCAATCACAGTGCTACTATAGGAAAATTATTTAATATAGTTTAAATTGATAGAGACGTTTGTCCGGTTTGAAATTCAAGAGCGGTTTGTGAAATTTGTCATAAAATCAATATTTAATAGAAAAAATAAAACATGAAGTATGGCATAGTAAAAATTACATAAGCTTGAATTGAATTTTCTAACATGCCATATATATAATTTTTAGAATCTAGCGCGCATATATATACTTAAATGCTCAAATCTAAGTCATATATATATATATATATATATATATATATATATTTGAATTTTTAACAAAAAAAATATTTTTAATTTTTACAAAAACAAAAATTTGATGATTTCTAGTTTACGATTAAGAGTTAGTGTTATGTGTATTCGTTTCTCTCCATTTAAATACCAATGCTTAAGTTTCAACAAGTGGCGTAAGGCAAATTGCTGGAATTTCTCATACCAAAAATTTATTTTTTTAAAGAAGATTAAAATTGTTTTTAAACTTTAAATTAGATTTTTGAAAAAAAAAAAGACTTTTATGAAAAAAAAAAAATATTATTTTGGAAATTTTGAACTTTTTTTCCAAGCAATTCTAACGTACAAACGATGTTACTGAACTGTGAACAAATCGGTAGCGTACCTAGGGGGGCGGAGGAGCCGGTCCGCCCCGGGCTGCACTTACCTTGGGGCGGCATTTTTTAATTTACTAATAGTTGTAAAAAGCAACTTATTAATTTCATATATATTTTCTTTTTTGAATTATAAATGATTATTATGATTATTATTATTGTCAATATTTGATTTATATTAAAATTATGATTAACTGTGATTATGATCTCGAATATTATTCCTTGGTGTATATAAATGTATTTTAGTGTCAATTTTGAATTCTAATTTAAGAACAAGATAATAATTTTATTCTATTGTATTCATTAAAATTCGTTGAATTCGTAAAAGAATCTTTACGATTTTGTTTGGCGATTTTTCCTAACTATTTTTTTTTTGATATCAGCTTATAAATGTCATTTCTTTTGAAAAGTTTATATTATGATTACTTTAAAGTGATATATCAATATATTTTTAAATCACCAATTTTTCTTTTAAAAATCAGGGCTGGCGAAAGGCGGTCTGCTAGTTCTGCAAAGCCTTAAGGCATTACATAAATATGTTAACGAGTGCATACAAATATGTCTGAAAAATTTACTCTGTGTATTAATCAATATTGATTCAATAACTTAATAATTTATTAACTTTCCAAAAGGCAAGTTATAGTATTCGCAAAAAAATCGAAAGTAAAAATTTGTATATATTGTTACGTTTCAAAGGTTTCTGAATTTAGGCATGCCTTAGAAAAAATGGATGTGTGTGTGTTCAGATACAAACTTTCGTCGACGATGTTAGGAACAGTGGTGTTGTCGAGCCGAAACTTCGATCCGGCAAATCATTTTTAGACCGGAACGCGTTCCAGCAAAAAAAAAATTTAAAAATCGCTACATACAAAAAATGATTTAATAAGTGAATTTTATAAATTATAATTCAACTAATTTTTATTAAATGTTCCTATTATTGTAATAAACATAAATATCTGTGCACAAAATAAGTTTTGTAATGATTTTTGTTTCTTTCCTTTTCGAACGGAACCGGAACAAACATGAAAACCGCTTTTTGAACCGGTTCCTAAATTTTAGCGTTCCGGCAAAAAAAATTTTAGCACAACACCACTAATCAGTGGTGTTGTGCTAAAATTTTTTTGTGTGTTCCTAATCAGGAACACACATCAACCGATTTGAATAATTCAACAAAACATTCGATTCGTACTGATAAGACGTGTTAATTAGTTTTTGGCAAAGGCAGGTCCAGCCGTTTCAAAGACACTGGACAAAAACGCCAAGAATTGGAATTTAGTTTTTGAGAGAACGAAGCGTCAGATTCAAATAATTCAAAAAACATTTTATTTGTTTGACTAAGCGAAGAACTGTTTTTAAGAAGGCATTTCTAGCGGTTACAGAGATTCAATAAGTAAAAGTAAAAAAAATGAGATTTGGCGGTCCAAAATGATCTTTAAACATATGTACGTCAAATTATTTGATATTTTCTAGAGTTCTTAATAATAGAAACAAACTTAATTTACATTTCTATGAGTTCCGTATCAATGTCTATCCGTTAGTCTGCAACGCGACGCTTACTCGCTTCGATAATTCGTCTTCAAAACAACTACGCAGCGCGATTGATTTGAAAAAAAGTTCCAAATTCTCAAAAAATTTCAAAATATAAAAAAACAAATTATTCAAAAAGTCATTTTATTTCAAAATTTTCAACATTCTCGAAAATATATTTTTTTCAAAGTTTTCAAAAAATGTTATATATTTTTTTTTAATTTCATGTTTTGGTACGGTAAGTTCCAGCAATTTGCCTTAAGGCACGATGTCATGCACCACTAGTTCATGTGTATTAATTTATAAAAATCACTATTTGATTGACTTATAATAAAAAGGGCGGCAATCTGGAGATCACCCCGGGCGGCAAAAGTTCTAGGTACGCCACTGAAACAAATGTAAACAAAATTTATACGTATAAATAAAATATCCATAAAAATATCTGAAAATTTGTTGTACATATGTTTGATGATCATTCTTGTCCGCCAAATAGCACGTTTTTTACTTTTTTTACTGGATCTCCAAAACCGCTGGATCTGCCTTTCCAAAAATTTAATCAATTCTTTATTTAGTTAGTACAAGTAAAATTGCCGTTTTTGGCACTTTTTGCCCCGTATCTAGAAACGGCCTGTCATCATGTCACGTTGTCAACATGAAACGAATATCTTTTGAATTAATTTAATCGAATGATCAGTTTTCGCAAAAACTGAATACCCATTTTCTGCACTTTTTGCCCCCTATCTCCAAAACGATTGGACCCGCCTTTGCCAAAAATTAATCAGTACGTCGACTCCACATCAATAAGAATCAGTTAATTATTCAAATCGGTTGAACGTGCGCCCGATATTGTGGACAAAAATTTCTATCCCCACAAAACACATACACGCGCGTACACACACACACATAATCCATTTCTTTTAAGAAGGTATTTCGATTTTTTTGCGATTACTATAACTCATCCAAAGAGAAGTTGAATAAAATTAATATATAAACATCGAACATTCAGACCAAAAATTAAAAAAAATCACTATAGAAAAAAATCTATCATAAACTCGATGCCTGGTAAATAGTTTATATATATATATACATATATATATATATATATATATATATATATATATATTAAAATTAAAATATTAAAATGTGTTCCAAAAATAAAAAAAAATTTAAAGAGTAGACCACCCTTGAACACTTAGGGGTATAAAAAATAGTTATCCGATTCTCAGTCATGCCGAACGTGATTATAAAGTTTCATCAAAATCGGTCCAACCGTTTCGGAGGAGTATTGCGACCAACAACATGACACGAGAATTTTATATATGCGGGCTGTCCCAGACCTTGACGTCAGGTCCAAACGGGGTGTTAGTATTGAACTTAACTGCCCTGAAAAAAAATTGGAAAAAATATCATCTCGCTCTGTATAAAAATTTTAAATTCATAGTTCAATAAACAGTTTGAAAACTTTGAGCAATTGTGGTATTTTTTGTTACTGTGGTCCTAGAAATGTTATTCACGGTTACGGTTCCATAGTTTAAATGAGCAAAATTAATAAATAAATAAAAATTTCAATAAAAAAAATAGTCATAATTTCACCAAAGCTTTAGGTTGCATTAAAAGCTCATCATTTCCAAACAACATGAGCTAATTTTTTTCAGAATAGTTAAGTCCTGAATAATTCATATTTATTTCCGGTTGAAATAGAATTGATGATCTCCCCGAGGATAATGCGATTATTGTCATTTTTCAACAATCACGAGTATAAATATTTCTTGGATAATAATAAATAATAAATGGTTACCTGTCCGAAGGCAGGTCCATCTCGTGAAAGCACCTCAATCAATGGATCCCCTTTCCTCCCTTGGTAATTATTACCATTGCCGTTTCATTCTCTTTATTCATGTTTCTACATTTATATGCGTTTTCCTTTCCAAACTTCTGTTTCTATGCTTCCTGTGCTTTTCTTCTCGCATAAGTCATCAATCATCTGCATTTTTATTCTTATTCTTACCAGTCGTTTCAGTCCTATTTTACCTTCGACGACGTCGTATGGGAGGCACTTTTTCTGCAGAATGGGTCCGATCCAGTTTAAATTTTTTTTTCATGATCGCGCACAGCACTTTTTCATTTATTATTTGATCTGTCCACTTTTCTTTTTCACGAAACCCGTCATTGGAGTTTACAAAAACGTTTAAACATTACTTTAAAAAAAAAAAAAAAAGACAAATTACTATCTGATGTCAATGTTCTTCATTTTGATTTTTTAATGCGGAATTAAAAAATACATATAACTCTAAATTTTCACCGTCCTACCACAAATTACCCTATTTCCTTTAATTTTAGTATTCCCCAAACATTTTTCATCTAACTCGATAACTAATCAATTATTGCCTTTTGTGAACGTTTTTTATATCAATCGATTCCTGCATTGATCTGATTAGCAAGATTATCCCATTGTACAAATATTGTGAACTCACACAGTTTATAAATAGCTTGCATAAAGAGCGAAAATATTACAATTACAACAGTTTTTGATAAGAAACCATACAGCAAAGGGAAATATACAGCAAAGTTGTAAATACTTCCACCAAGTTTTTAAAATCTCACTCAATTCACTAGACTTGTCACAACATAATTAAAAGATGAATGTTTGAATTTTGCTTTGTAATTAAAAAATTATTGAATTAACGAAAAGCACTGTGATAATGTGTAAAAACCTTGAATATCAATATGCCCCTTGAACATTTATATGTGCTATGCGTTGCAGATGGTAAGCCATTCATTTAATTTGTGTTAGCTGCCTCTTTCACTTATATATCATACACTTCTACGTTCACAATCAGTTATTTTTTATACTAAATATTTTCGAGAAATATTTTTTATGAATGCTTGCCGGTCCAAGGCCCATATATGAAAGGTGTCCCAGACCTTGACATCAACCTAAACATGGTGACAGTATTGATATTAACCTTAACTGTCCTGAAAAAATTTAGAAAAAAAGAAATATCTCATGTTGTTTGGTATGAATTTATTGTAAGTCCAACCTATGGCTTTGGTAAAATTATGAGCATTTTTCAGTTATTGTTGTTGATTTTTATTAATTTTGTTCATTTCAACTTTGAAACCATGACAATGAATAACATTTTTAGGATCACGGTAAAAAAAAACATACCACAATCGCCCCAGGTTTTCAAGAATTAAAACTTTCTGTTGAACTATGAATTTGAAATTTTGAAAATCCATCTACTTTGAGAGGCCCTCCCTTGAAAAAAATGTACTAAAGTGTGTTGGTAAGTTTCATCAAAAGTCGCCGCATTTAATTAGGATTGTAAAAATTAATTAATTAAACTAAACTAAATCAATAACAACACAATATATAAAAATACTTCAATTTATTTATCAAAATTTTATAGCATCATAAAGTTAAAAATATATCACAAATTTATAATAAAATAATAGAACTTTCACAACTTACCGATTAAGCACATTGCTTCAGTTTTCTGTTATTTATAGAATTCAATACCAATGTGATGATTTGTTATTGTCAAAATGATTCATATATTTAATAGATCAAATGCTAATTTTTCAACTTTCTGCCTGAGATCTTTTCTTCTAGAAGCATCTAGAGCTTCACATATCATTTTCATAAGGCTTGTTTTATCTTCTCTTTCTTCAACAACTTTAAATACAGTCAGAATTTGAGATTTTAAATCACGAGGATATTTTACAACTATTTCATCTATTTCACTTTCTCTAACATTAAGACTACGAGCCATGTCTTTCCATTTCTTTCCAATGTCAGTTGCAATCATACTATAAACTTTTTGGTATAAAACATCATGAGTTTTATTCTCTGGAGGAAAGTAATTTTGTTGAAACTCAATATTCACATTTTTAGCTGCTATTTCTAAAAAAAATTTTAAATCTACGTTTAAAAATATTTCAACATTATAATTATCAACAGCTTCATAATTATATAATTTATTTTCAAGAACTACTTTTGAAATAATATAATATAAGCGTTTAATTTGTAATCTTGCATACAATATATTATAATTAACATTATAGCATAAAATACATGACTTTGTTATTGTCAGAAAAAAGAAAAAAATAAAAATGTTTTAGAGTTTTATCATTATCCATTTAACGTGCAACAAATAAAATGTAAATGAAAACTAATATCTCACAGAATGCATATACAAATATTCAACACATTTTAATTCGAATGCAATTATATTTTTCTCCAAGTCCTGAATTGAAAATTTTATATCTAAGTAGATAATATATGCATATAATATACACCTAAGTCTGTTTTTACACGGTCTTTTTGTACACAGTTTTGATATAACACGGTTTTAAAATTGAATATTTTTAATTTTTTTACACGATTTTATTCCATTTAGCACGATTTGAAATTTTATGTACTTAAATTTTTTTTGTCAAATTTAATTTTTGCGAAGTATGTTCATATCACCTTATTATTTTTTACCTTAAAAATTGAATAACCTATTCTTTTCGTTCACAACATAGTTTTTTAGTTCCTGAGCTTGCCATACATTTAATTTATATTACTTTTAAGATTAGAGTGCATATCTTTTTCATCATTAATTACTATGCTTGTGAAAATAAGCATTATATATTTGATTTAATAAAATAAACAATAATTCTTGTTCTTAAAAATTCTTGTTTTTCACTAATTTTAATAGGTTTTAGAGATTAGGAACAAATCACCCATTTTTGTATAAAATCAATGTCTTTTTTTACACGTTTTTTTTTACACGGCTTCTTCTGGAACCAATCTACCGTGTAAAAACAGACTTAGGTGTATATTTATTATGTACATATATTTGTAATCAAATATATGTATATACATGCAAATCTTTTCTATTGTAAATGGAACAAAAAACCTGTAAATTACCATAAAGAAATACTATTGTCAATAATATATATTATTTAAAAATAGTAATAAATGACTAATTATAATGTATGAAGTAAGTAAAATAAAGAAAACCCCAATAATCTACCAAGAATTGAACAGATCTACGTTCACAATATATTCTTAATAAATAATCTTTGAATTATGATGTACTGCCTGACTAGCCATAAAGAGCACAAAACATTTCACAAATATTATTATTCTGAATTCTTAAATTTGAGCATTACGGTTTGTTTCAAGTGCAAAGAGTAAGATTGGTAAGATACATAGCCATTAAATAGGCAAATTAAATTACAACAAAAATTAAACTTCTGATAGTGATATATTTTGATACAACCTCTTTTATTCTAGTAGAGAAAATTGTGAAGAACATTGCATATATTCAGATTTCATCAAAAATTTATCTAGAGCACTCTTCCCATGCTGCTATATAAGATTATCAGTATTTGTATTTTCACACAAGCAATACTATTCACAAACATAATTCATAATCTACTAGTACTAGCCATTTAATAATAAAAAAAAAGTTAAACAATTCTTCAGTTGTAACTGTGATAAATCTGACTAGTATGTTCAAAACGGATAAACTGTATTGTTTAATTGTAAATATTTCTTAAAATCTTTCGATATATCTGCTTCAGTTTTACTTGCCACATTATTAATTATACTACAGTGAAAAAATTGTAGTAATAGTATTGCACTATCTCATGGCTTCTTAAACTATGAGTTGTGACCCCATTTAGGGTATATATATATATATATCATTTAATAACATCACGTCTAGATGATGATTTTGTATGTTTTATAAAAAATTCTATAACTATATATTTTCATATGTATATATATATATATTGTTACCTAATAAATAAATCACCAAAAAATATTACTATCTCTTTCTCTTATATTTGCGTGGGCTCGTCAAAAAACTCATAAATGGGGTTGAGAATGACAAAAGTTCAAGAAGCCTTCAAGGCTTCCTATTGTACATTAAATCTTCTATTTTATAAAATAAATTAAAAGTAGTAAATTTTGATTTATGTAAAAAATTAAAATTCTTAAATATCAATGATCAACATCTTTTCACTTTTCTCAGCTACTTACTAAATTATGTTAATTAACTTGACAAGTGCCTTTTAAATTTCCTTATGATAATCCTGTTTCAAATCACATATTTTTTATTTGAAACCATAAATAACAACAATATTTACCTGGTTCTATTTCCTTTTTTATGTCGTTGTGTATCGCTCGATTATTATCATGATCTATGTAATGAGATCCAGTTAATCGAAAGTATATATCAAATAATATGGTTCTGTTTTCAGAACTCACGATATTTCTTTTTTCTAATATATTAATCAAATCAAATAATGATTCTATATATTCCATTCGTCTATTCGAATTGATTACATCGGCATAGCTATTCTTTAAAACCTCTAGTTGCTTTGTGCTTGCATAATTTAAACAACGAGTTAATATTTTCTGCTTGAAGAGATCGTAATCACTCAAATCGTGTGCCATGTTTATTTTTAAATAAATCTATTCAAACAGCTGTATGCTTCATGATATTTGGAATGTGTTGTAAAGTGATTTAACAGAAAGCAAATACAAATAATAACACAAAATATTTTTGACCAACACAATTCTTTACGAGTTGTCATCGGCTGTCATTCTCACGTGTTTTTTATTTAGAAACTTGTTTTTATCTATGGCTAGGGCTGCTGCGCATCATAGTTGTTAGTTAAATAGATATGATAGACAGGATGATATGAACTACACAGTTGGTGTGTCTACATACACATGTGAACCAACATACAAATACAACAGGCATAATGTAATAAACGGAAAATAAACATAAATGTCGTTAGCTGTCAAATTCATCCGTGATTGTTAAAAATGAATTTCAACATATTTTCGATGAAGAAAAGAATTTACGAAACCTTGTTAATAAACAGTTTGTCAGCCTAGGTAATTTCTCTCACATAAAGTAGTAATAAATTAGAAACTTGTAAAAAAGTAATATCTTGTGTCGTAGTGAGAATTTATCTCTAAAGATAAATTAAAACGTTGTGAATTATTATTTATGCATGACAATTAAATTGTCATAAAATATTTCTCAAGTGGACCAAAATTACTGTTAATGCTTTTATTGTGCTGTAGAAACTCGATTATAGGCATTCAGATAATCGAATGTATGAAGAATAATGTATAAGTAATTACAAACATAATTCTGAACTGAAATATTAATCATGGAAAAAAATATTTAGGTACCTATGTACGAATAATTTGTTTACATGTACATTTGTATTTCGTAATCATGATATAAGTAGGTAATAAGTTTAATTTGTTACTAATATAAAATATTTGGTATTTGTCATTTGTCGTAAGCAACTGTACCTCTTGTACATACTAGAGTTGGGTTTATCATATCGGAAGCTGGATCAATTAGAATTTGGCTCCGCTTCAGAGTGGAGTCAACAACTCTGACAACTTTGAATGTGTTCTATAGTGTGTTGTTCATATATCTAAGGATTTATTAAGCATTTGAAAATCGTTTAAAAACAGATCAAACATTTTTTTTTATTTTATTATAAGAAATTACTATTTTATGCATTTTAATATGTATACAAATATCAAATTGTACGCCAAAATTGAGACAATAAAAATATTGAATTATCAGGGTAATTCTTTTGTTATAAAGGATTCAACTAGACAATCAGGCGACCAGATAATTTATGAATAAATAAACGTCAATAGAACAATGATTGAAACAAATTTACCAATAAATGACGGATTGTAAAAATTTTGACAGACGATCGAATCAACGGATAATATTTTTTGCAGTGTTAACCAACAAAAAAATGGAAAACTTGAGAATTAAAATTAATTTTATAATTATTTTTGAAGAGAAAAATATAATTCTTTGAATATTTTTATATTTATATAAGAATAATGCTGTAAATTGTAATCTTCTTTAATATTTGTATAATATTATGCACGGAATAATAATACTTCACATTCTCCTATTATTTCCTTTTTGAGAATGAATTGTATATCAGGTAGTTTGATTAGCATACTATTACTTTTATATTAAATATTTTGTTGCTTGTTGTATACCACTGAAAGACATCATTTACCGACAAGGATTATCATATAGAAAATAAAAAAAGACATTATTTTGGGCCATTTTATACCTAGAAAGTCGTAAAATTGCCTGTGAGACGAGAAAGCGACGGCTTCTTTCGACGCAAATCTTTGTATTAGTAAAAAATCTCAAACAAATGTCTGTACATGTTAACAGATTTAGTACCATGTTAGGGAAGTCGAATATGACAAAATTTCCGATACAACTCCGGTCGAATTCACTCCAAGGGAGGAGTTATATCCTCGGATATCTCACTCTGGAGTTACCCAACTCTAGTATATATATATATAAATTGGTAGCCCGGATAAACGAGTTCTTATTGTACTTTAAATGCATTCTTTAACAATGACAAAAATCTTCACAAATTAGAATAATAAATTAAAAGATTCGACTTAAACTGAATTTTTGTTTGAACTAGGTACTGATTTACATATTGATATTAACCATTACAATGGAAAAAAGTCAAGATCTGCAAGGTACTCTATCTCAAAATATCAACAATAACATATCACAATGGACTCCAGAAGTTCAATCACCATCCCGGCCATGGGGCCAATTAGTTTTTATCACAAAAAAGACCAAAACACTTGGCATGAGACTAACAGGCGATGCCGTTGACACACGCTCCCTCATATATGACTTACATAAAGACACATACTCTGTTGGCAAATACAACTGCGATATAACTTTAACCAAAAACTTGTTCAGTACAGATACCTTAAATCTATTATCCCGCACGCATTTCATTGTAAAACGTACTTTGGAAGACGGTGGACCTGTAATTTTAGAGGATTTGTCACACAATGGAACTTATGTGAATGGCGAGAAAGTTGGAGTTGGCAATAAGAGAGTACTCGAGTCCCAGGATGAGATTTCGCTAGCAAAAAAATATTCCAGAGTCTTTGTGTTCCAGGATTGGTTGGGGGCTACAAATTTGAATGTTCCAAAGTGTATACAAATTGTGTACTATATTTCCAAACAAATTGGTAGCGGTTCGAGTAGTGTTGTGAGATTAGCTTATAATAAAAGAAGTTGTGAACGTTATGCAATGAAAATTGTTACTAAAGGTAATAGCGTTGAAGGAACTGATAGTAAAAAAATTATGAATGAAGTTAATATGATGAAGAAGCTGAAGCACCCTTTTGTGACTTCAATGTACGATATAATTAATACAACAGACAGTTTATTTTTAGTCATGGAGTATATGGATCGCGGTGATATGCAATGTTATGTAATTGAAAAGACTTTGTTAGAAGAAAATGAGGCCAAACATTTATTTTATCAAATTGCTGAAGCTGTGAAGTATTTACACCATCAAAATATTGTGCACAGAGATCTCAAACCACAAAATGTTCTTTTACGAAATAGTCTTGACTTTAACATCACTGCAAAAATATCTGATTTTGGTATAAGTACTTTTTTAGGCCAGTCGTACCTGCAAACAAAATGTGGCACCCCCTTATATATTGCACCAGAAGTAAATAACAATTCAGACGGATACACCGAAAAGGCAGACATATGGAGCCTTGGAATTATTTTGTACTTTAGCTTATGCGGAAAAGAACCTTTTGCAAATCTAGAGGAAAACCAAGAACCTTTTTGTATTAATTTTGATGCAATCAACTCATGTGCTCGTGATCTGGTAGAAAAAATGATTGAACCGAACAGTGTTAAACGGTTATCTATTTCTGAGGTGCTCCAGCATGATTGGTTGAAAGAGGACTTACCGATCAAAACAATATTACATCCTTATAAACAACCTTTAACCGAATTAAAACCTGATACATGTATAGAAGATAAAAATGAGGATGAAAAATAGATTTTGTGATACTTTTTATATCCAATAGATTTTAAGTAATGTAAATTTAATGTCAAAATAAAGATATGCTAAAACAATTTATTATAATTATTTTTTTAAAATGCACTCAATATAGTATTATACCTAGAAGTTTAACTTCAATAACGATTTTATTATCATTATCAAAAATACATATCATTAATTCTTCATTATACATCAAATTATTAAAAAAATATATACATTATTAAAATACACATTTAAATTTTTTATCCGACATTGATACCTTTAGCGAATATTTTAACTAATTCCTAAACTTGCATAAAAATAATTACGTTTATAAAGCAAATCATATATCATTATATAATGATATAATACTATAAATTTTCAAGTAAATAAATAAATTTTCTTTCATTGCCAGCTTGACCGGAGCATACTCTAAATTCGAAGAAAATGCAAATAAATAATATTTATATGTATGTTGTATATATAATTATATATATATATATATATATATATATATATATATATATATATATATACGAGGTGTGTTCAAAAAGTACCCGGAATTACTAATAATTAAATTTCGCGGGTCTGGAGTGTCTGATTGTCAAAATTTTTTTTTTATTGTGTTGGTATACATGCCCCTAAAGTATGATGAAATTTTCAGCTATATTCACTGTTTACTTTGTCTGTGGTAGTCGCTAAGGTTCGACGTGTTTTTCTGAGCTCGGCGATTTTTACAATGGAAAAATTGAAAAGTCAAAGAGTTTGTATTAAATTTTGCGTAAAAAATGAAATAAAGTGTTGCAAAGTGCAAAAATTCACCAGATATGGCTCCGTGTGACTTTTTCCTATTCCCAAAGTTGAAGAGACCCATGAAAGGACGGCGGTTTTCCTCGATTGAAGAAATAAAGGCCGAATCGCTGAGAGTGCTCAAGGACATATCAAAAAGTGAATATCAAGGGTGCTTCGAAAATTGGAAAAAACGCTGGCATAAGTGTATTATATCTGGGGGGGACTACTTTGAAGGGGACCACATTAATGTAGACGAATAAATAAATATTTTTTTGAAAAAACGAAAATTCCGGGTACTTTTTGAACAGACCTCGTATACATATATATGAGATTCAATCTTCAGGGCAATACATCAATTAAAAACTTGTAGAAACTTATAAGTTCCTACAAGTTTTTAATTGATGTATTGCCGTGAAGATTGAATATCACATATTTCAACATCCAAATTATTAAAAAAAATTATATAGAATTGTTATAATTAATTAAATTACTTACAATCAGCGATAACAAAGTTGTTGATGCTGCTGCAAAATCTGCATAGAAGAAAGATTTCTCCAAGCAAGTTACCTTGCGCTTTTCACGTTCTGTGGAGAAAATTGCAAAAATTAAGAATAAAAAAGCGTGATAATTTTGCACGTTTCGACTCTAGATATATGCCATTATTCTAAAAATAATGAAATAACCGAGGAAAAATTATCTTTTTTTTTGCTCTTTCTGATATATTTTGTTTTTCTTTAAACAAAGCATATTTAAATATTTTTTTCTGCATTTTATAATCTTTTAAAAATACATGCTTGGTGATGACACACATCTAGTGTTGAAATATTCTTTATTATATATTTTCAATTTGTTGGCTGCCGACATTTTTAGAATACATAGATATAGGATAGATAAAAGAAGAGTATATTTTGTAACGTGGTATTATTTTCAAATTCGGCAGATACTAACGATTTTACTTTATGTGCCCTTATGCTGAGACTAATATGTTATTTACATTTATTAAGATAATACATAGTGATTTAACACCTTGAAAAATAGTCGTTTACCCGTGGAGATCGCAAAAAAATTATCAATCTGCATTCTGTGTTTGCATTATATAGAATATATAATTATAAAATATTAATTTTATTAAAAAAAACACACTTAATTATATTGACACATGTTTTAGCTAAATTTGGTTTAAATAAAAAATCTATGTGCGACTTAGCACTTTAATTATTGATTTTTATGTTAAAGGAATATTGAGAATTTTGAATTCAAACTAATTTCAATTTTAACTAATATCTGCAATACCGAAAAACTGAAAATCTTATAGTTTCTGATAAAGATCGGTCGAGTCGTTTCTTTTTAGTTGATAATATTTTGACGATTCTGATGAGACCGTTTATAACAATAGATTTCGTAGTCTGAAATTACTTACTATAATATTATAAGCCTACACCTACGATGTGCGATTATGTTTTAAAAATTTATCAAAGGTATAGAATTTCGCCGCATGCTTAGGCGATTCTAATCGGCATCTATGCCGAGTACATACTAGACAATATAATGAAGTAACTAGTGGTGTATGGCATCGTGCCTTAAGGCAAATTGCTGGAACTTTCCGTACCGTAACGAAATGTTCGAGGAATATTAAATGTTTTCAAATAGATTATTATGAATATTGTATACAATGTTACGTAACATTGCCTAATATTTATAAGAATTATATAAACTGAATTGCAAAGTTGAAATTATTTGTTTGAAGTATATTAGAATACTAGTCAGAATTATTTTCGATATACAAAAAAAAAAATTGAAACAATTTTTATTCCAAAAGCAATTATTTTGTTAAAACAAGCAGAAAATTCTTTGAAACATTCAAATCGGACGCTTAGTTCTCTCAAAAACTGCCATTTTTTGCACATTTGGCTCTATATTTCGAAATGGCTGGACCTGCCTTTGCCAAAAACTAATCACCATTTCTCCCCATTATTACGAAATAAATGTTTTTAGATGATTCAAATCGAACGCTCCGTTCTCTCAAAATCTCGATTTCTATTTTCGGCACTCTTTGCTCTGTATTTCCGTAACGGCTAGACTTGCCTTTGCCAAAAACTAATCAGCACATCTTCCTATCAATAGGAATCGAATGTTTTTTGAACCATTTAAATCGGTTGATCCTTGTGCCCGAAAAAGTGAACGAAAAAATGCGGACACAAAACACACACATCCATTTTTTCTGAGGTATGCCAAAATGTTCAGAAATCTTTAAAACCTCGAGAAATGCTAAATTTTCATTTTCAATTTTCGGCCCATTTCTATAGTAATAATGCCTTGACAAGTTATACGAGCTTCCCGATATGCGCAAATAATCGACTTAATCAATAAAATATAAATTAATTTATGAATTATTAAAAATATTTCGAGTGGATTTATTACACATAATTGAAAACGAACGAACACGTTTAAGTTAACTCGGAGTATTTTCTAAAAGCAAATTTTCAAAAATCAATAATTTTTATAATTGAACCAGTTTCCGTAGGACGTAAGGCCGTAATATTTCAGTAATTCTATAAGACCATGATATATATCGCCAAAAAAAGTTCCATAAAAATCGGCTAATTTTTTTTTCAACAGTTAATTACAAGAAAACGGCTCGGTATATTTTCACCTGAAACTAATCTGTATCATTCCTAACTAATATCTTTTCGAACAGGGTTTGATTTTTTAAAATCAATTTGGTAGTATGAGCTTAAATGTAGACGAAAAGTTTAACACTTTTTACCAAATTACAAAGAAACGGCTTGGCAGATCGTCGCACAAAACTGACAAACGATAGCTTTAAAATTTTGAAATCGGTTCAGGCGTTTTTGAGCAAACGTCGATAAAAGGTCTAATTTTGACAAATGCCAAAAAACGATACTACACTTTGCAAACTTTAAAGAATTTTTAAAATTAAACGACTTGTCGTAGGGCCATAATATTTTAGTACGATCTATAAGACTATGGTATCCACCGTAAAAAAAATCATAAAAATCGTCGAAAAAAAATTTTTTTTAACACTTTACTACAAGAAAACGGCCGCGCCGATTTTTACCAAAAACTAATCAGCACGATTCCCAACCAATAGCTTTCGGACAGTTTTTGAATTTTCAAAATCAATTCAGAATTGCGGCCTAAAACGTGGACGAAATTTTTTTCACTTTTCTGCGATTTCCAAAGAAACGATTTGGCTGATCGTCGCGCAAAACTGATAAAAGCTAGTCCGCATCGAGAAACATGACTTTTAAATTTTTGAAATCGGTCCAGCCGTTTTTGAGAATACTTCGATTTACGGCAAAAAAAATCTGTTCACATACACATACACATACTTTTTTCAAATTTGGTCTCATTCGATTCAGAATGACTTGAAACGTCGAGAAAACAAAATTAGCGAATCGGATTTTTTTATGAAAACATAAACTTCTCCTTCGGGAAGTTAATAATGATGTACATTCTCTGATGTTCACAGGTAGCTACGCAGCTACGTATTACGTCATACTTTATAAAGTACATTTTACACATCCGAAATGGAAAAAAAGAAAAGTGTTAAACAAATTAATTTAATTTATACAATTACAGATAAAATAAGTATACTCTTCTTTTATCTGTGTAAGTATTATCATATTGTCTAGAGTAGGTAAGTATGTTTGAAAGACGTTCGTTTTTAACGGTCATCGTTGTTCTGCGCATGCGCAGAGCCGACGACCGTTGCGCGACGCTCGCCGTTATTTCGTGCTAGCACACAACACGGACGTACGTATATTAATGCGCATCGAAAACTGCCAAAAATCTAGATTTTTAAATACCATGTAACAGTAAAATTATAACATGGATAATAAATATCATAAAAACCAAAGCTGTTTCAATGAACGACCGAAAGTTCAATCTATTATTGATAATAGTGATACGCAAATGACAAACGTAAAAATGTCTTCAAAGGTCAGTCGTACATACGACTTGAGATATTCGAAAGCACGTAACGATAATATTAAAAAAGCAAAAATAGTAGAAATAAATTTTGATAAGTTTCAAGAATTAATTCAATCAAATAATTTAGACCTTAATCCAAAGACTATTAAAGAAGTGCAATCTTTAGTTAGTGTTGACGATCTTGTAAACAATTCTACGAAAGCACCTGGCGATGTACTGGCTTCTTGTATAATTGATAAATAAACCATATATTAAATATAAATAAAAATATAAAAATAATTGTTTCAATTTATTTGTAGGTAAAAATAACGCATCTCTAATGCACAAAAAGATGGTCACAGGCACTTCTTGTGAAGAAACAGCAAAATTATTTAATGGTGAAACAAAAACAACACAAATACGTTTTAAAGTTTTAAATTCTCAATCTATATTGAGTGGAATTGCTGGTACATCAATTCCAAAAAGTGTACTAAAGAACAACAGTATTTCTTTACTTTCAAATACACATCACATTCCTAGTTATGGCAAGCCGAGTGTGGAACACAAGAAGATAGATAAGAATAATTTAGAATTTCAAAACGGATTGATTCATTCTTCAAATTGTGTATTGCCTATTGTTGAAAATAACTGTATGAGCAAACATGATTTTTATGAAGAAACGAATAATGAAGAATTGACTCCCAGTAATGTAAACCCATTGACTGAAACAGACAATTTTCTTGAAATTGGAGAAACGGAAAGCGACTCACCAAAAATTTTGAATTTTCTAAATGGAATTAATGTTCCAGAAAATGTTTTAGGTCATTTATCACAACTTTTCAATATAACTGAAGAGCATTTAACAAATTACTATGAACAAAGAAGCTCAAACGATGACAGAATTGATAATCAATTAAATATTTTTAAGGTCATTCAAGATGAATTAAGCAATAAAGAGAATACAGAAATTAATAGTTATGAAAAAAATAACGAAAGTTATGTGAAAATTAATACCAATCTAGAAAAGCATGATTTTCAAGAAATAAGATTTGTTATACAAGATATTTGGGCAAAATGTAACAAGCCAACATTGTCACAAAATAATGATAAGGCATACAATGAAGCTCATGACAATAATTTTGATATGTTAGATTTTGAAAATTTTGTGCCTGATGAATTATTTTCACACAAACCATATGTGACCTCTGAGTACACCGAGAGTAGTCAAAATTTCAGGAAAGGAGCCTTTTTTAAACATTTTGATATTGAAGATGATGAGTTAAGTTCATTACTTTAAATTTGATAAAATTGGTAAATTGAATTATATTGTATTTTCAATATTAACGTTAGTATAAAATATTTCTACAATAAATAATACTTATTGATTTATCTTTATAAATATATTTACTTAAATAATTTTTAATTCTCTAGTTTTGTTCTCAATTTCTTCTGTAGCAGGTATAAATACTTTTTCTTGAGGCTAAAACAAATATGTTTAAGTTATTATACCAACAACATTCTGTCAATAAGTAATAAACTTACCAAAATATATATATGTGTAGGAATATCATGACATGTAACAGCCACCTCTGAGTTTTCTGGAACTAATATAAGTTTAGGTAAAGTAACATAACCACATACTAATGGGAAGAGATTGAAATTTAATACAATTTTTTCAAATGGTGCTAATGCCAACTGCATCTGAGAAGAAAAATACATCATAAACATGTAGTTTTAGCCAAAATATTTTTTGCTAATTACAAATGACAAGCACACTGCAGAACATAAATGATACTTTAAAGTATAGTTTTAGCTGGATCTTTTACAAATCAACATATCTTAAAGATGCTCATATAATGAATTGTTAATCAAAGGGAAAAAAGAATCAAAGCCATTTTTTTCTGCAGTGTTTTCTTCAGTAATAATTTCAAGCCAACTTACGTACTAATTCATTTTGTTAATTTATTTTATGAAAAATATTGCAATACCTCTTTATAACCGCTGAACATAAATGATTCACTAGAATCAAGAGTTGCCTGCATATTCACAAGTATTTCACATTTGCTCTGCAATATATATTGCAAAGGCAGAATAGTTCTCACCACGCCTTGAGCTGGTAATACTACTTCAACTCTTACTGAACACGTTTTCATAACTAAAAGTAAACAATTATATCATCTATGTAAAGATATTTTATATTTGATAACTTACTAATCCCTGGCAATGCTATTGAGCACTTATTCACATGTTCAGCATCTTCACGCCTCCAGAAAATGTTATAAATTCCAACTGATGGTATATCAGTATTCTTTGAATTACGATCAGATGCATTTGAAATATTTTCTAAAGTTTCGACCCCAAAAACTTCTGTAGCTTGTTCATTTGCTTTTATATTTAGACCTTTCATCTGGCTTTCAGGACCATTTTCTTGAATACTTATAGGTTTCATCTTAAAGAACAAATGTGTAACTTATCATTTTTACTAAACTAGGATGTAAATTTAATTTTCAATTATATTGTATAATTTTAATGTCATTATCAATATTTTCACTGCAGTTCATATTTTTATTAACTAATATGTGTCCAATATCCCTGGATCTTCTTTAAATATAATTCAGATGAACACTTTTATCTTGAAAAAAGTCAGTTATGATTAGTAAATTAAATGTTACTTCTTTTCAAATCAAAACATCAGTAGAAATTGCAATTTGTACTTATCAAAAAAAATAAAAGATTTTTAAAAGCTAATATTTTTTTATAAAACTTACTGGTTCAATGTATGTATTTTCGATCAGCAATGGCCATGGGCTTTTCACATTTAAACATGTTAAAACAATAAATTTACTCTCTTCATAACAATAGTTTATTTCTTTGAAACAAGATGATAGATATTGCGATGTCATACTGAAAGGCTCAACCACTGATACAACAATACTCTGTTCTTTGATTGAACTACTGTGCCCAGAATAATCATTTTTAATTTTATAAGCAATTTTAGCATTGATCTTTATATTATGTATTTGGTCACACTTCATAAAGAATGTTTCACTGTGCTTTGCATTTGTTTGTAATTCATTCACATTGATTGATAATGAGCTACTGTTATGTGCAGAATTATTTGAAGGATTTATGCACAAACACACTGAAATTAAAAAAACATATAGATAATTAAAAAAAAAAAATAGATTGCATAAAGGCATTACCATTATTGAGCTGGTCTTGAACAATTAGATTTATTATAATTTCATTTATTTCACTCTGTTCTTTATTATGCATGCTCAAAGTTATTTTGTGCCATTCTCCTTTCAATGCTGGTGTATCATGCAATGCTTCGCAGACTAAATTACTTGGTCTACAAGAATTTAGAAGTGTAAGAGAGGGTATTCAGATATAAATTTTATAATACAAATAAATATAAAACAATAATATTATTATTATTATCGACTTTACCTAGGAATTATAAACGCTGTGGTTATAACTTCGCCTACATTTAGATCACAAAGAAGCTTTTGTATATTGGAAGAATTTTGCAAAAAATTTACATTAGAAATATCTAGTAGAGGAGAAGATAGTTCAAGTATAATATTTTTTGTTCCCATTTGCAGTACTACTTTGCTTATCTGTAATTATTTTAACAAACTTGAATTGTCATCAAGTATAAAATACTTGTATAGTTGTAATACGATATAACTCACCTGAATTTCAGTGCCTTCCTTAAATCCTTTGCTTGGAGTTTTAAAAATTAATACCAGTGACTTATCAGCATCAATAACGTACCCATCTTCGTTATGGCATTCTTCACATACATCAATTTCAATACTTGTTCCATCTTTTGAATTCAATAAAATGCTAATTTTTGAAAATTTTAATAGCACCATAGTCAGCGATCTATAAAAAATCATAGATATACATAACTATATTCAAATAGTAACTGATACATTTGATATAAAACAATGACAATTAACACATGATTTATATAAGTTATTTTTAAAATATTACATACTTTATTCTTAAATGTATAATTATATTGTCAGTAATTGATATTTCTCTGCTGGAAAATGTACTGTGTACTTCAATGCATGGTGCAATAGTAGCTAAATCAATAGAAATTTTTTGTGGAACAGTTAGCGATTGGAGCCATAACTCAACTGTTTTCGTGTACATCAACGGCAAAGGTTTTGGTGCATGCTCTAGTTGTAATGTTGGCTCAGACTTTGGAGGCATTTCCTAAAATAGAATCTTATATTAATACTTCAACATAGTCATAGTCATTATTCTGCAAATATTTTCTTTTATATAAACAGCATAAAATTAATCATCCTAAAAACACTTTTATGTAGCCTTTTCACAATTTTAAATTTTCAGATTGCTAAATATTTCTTGGCACTAAAGCAAACGATAAAACTTGTAACAACTTAAATGTGGATATTAGTTTCATTACATTGTATTATAAAAATGTATAAAAATAGAGTAAATTTCTCTAGAGCTTTTCAATGTTGGAATTGTCACACAACTATTATTTATTTGATACATATAATTAATTTACCACTGAAATTCTATTTTCCTTCAGTTTTGTCTGTATTTTCTAGATGCAATAAAACAAAAAAAACATACATTCATAATTCCTTCTAGTATTTACTTGCCTGTAAAATAAGTTCTAAGTTTTCCGCAATTCGAGTCTGTTCAGATATTTCCTTATTGAATTTAGTAGACAAAGCTTCAATAGCCAAGTGTACATAATCCTGAATTGAGACAGTCATGCAGGATGCATAAAGAGCTCTTTTGTGTACATATCTCCACAAATCCAGTACACCTTCAGCTCGATAATCAGACAGCATGTGCATAAAAAGTCTACAAAATGAACAATTTTGAAATACAAAAAGAATAACAGAAATTTATTACAAATTCATTTTTTACGTCAAAGCTTTTCCAACTTCATTGCACATAAGATACTGTTCTGCCATTTGAACAAATATTCTTCTACGCATTCTCAAACAACGATAGTTTTTGAATTGAGAACTAGCCAACCCCAGTAGATTTATTATAATAGTCTATAACAAAAATTATGAAGTAATTCTTCTTATATTATACTAGTTTTTCCAAATCACACATACAGAGTGATCAACCATAGTTTCTTGGTGCTGAATGCTGGCAATAATTTTCTGTTCAGTTGATGGCTCCCCGGGGCCCGATGAAACTCGAACTCCATAAAATTCAGAAAGTGCCAATGCTGATGGACTCTGAAAAAATTAAAATTTACATATGTAACTAAAATAAACATATATGTGCATTTATTAAAAATATTTAAACATAATATAGAAATAGTCATGTAAATCATAGTGCTTTAAAACAAATTCCTAAAATCGTTCTATACACAAATATTAGATGAACAAAATTAATGAATCCAAATAATCAAAAATGTGAATAACAATAATTTCAACATTATTTAAATTAAAAACAAAAATTTGAAAATTTCAGTTCTATCGCATGCACAATTTTAAATCATTTTTCAAGTTAAAATTAAATGTTGAATGCAACTTATAAATATGTTTTCATATTGGTAAGATAAAAGACAAACATAAATTATGTACTTCATTAAAACTAAAGTTTTTGGCCTAAAAAAGTTAAAATCGTATGTTTAAAGTAAAATGATGAATTTAGTCATTGCATATTGTTAAAATAATTATAGAAATCCAATAAATGTGTTATATATTTGTACAATACACATAAATTAGAATAATAACATAATCATCATAATAATAACATGCCCAGTAAGAAGTTATATTATAATTATATTCTGCTGCATTAAAAGATTTGGTTTATAGATAAAATCATCAAAACTTACCTGCAACTCTTTTGATATGTTGGGAGCTAATATTGCAATTGATTTTCTTCTCAAAATACTATGTCGTGCAGCGTCTTGATAATAATATCCTGGATGTTGTGTTTGTATTGCTGGTAAACCTTTATCTACAGCTTCATTAAACAGTTCAGCAAATGCAAAATATCTTATTGGAAAATTTATATGAGAAAAATTTAAATAAGAATTATAAATGAGTTAACACTTACTGTGCGCTCAACCAAGAATAATGCTCAAACTCCAATTCCCTGCAACCAATGCGTGTTTTGTATCTCTCAATGTGTGATTTAAATTGACTAATAGCATCTCTAGGTAAATTAAGTTGAAACATAGTACGACATAATTTATAATTTATGTATCCAGCCACAGTTTTAATTTCTAAACAATTATTGTCTATTATTCGTATTTCATCAAGTGCTAAGTATGCTTGTGTATAATGCCTGTGAAAAATTTAAAAACAATAAATTTCCTGTATTACATACAATAAATGTCCAATATTAAATTTTAAATGACTAGATTGAGATTTTGGAAATTAATGAAAAATGTAAAGTACAATTTACTTATGTGCAATATTCGGATCTTGTCGCAATTCTGACAGAACACCCAATTTAAACTGATGTCTGGTTTTCAAACCCTGATGTGCTGTTGTTAACTGGTCCTTATGAGATCGAATTACTCTAGCCATTTGCTGATAATAACCATGGCATAATTCCAAAAATGCGGAATCAAGACGCTGAGCATACCCTACAACAATACTTTTCTTGCATATAATGATATATTTGAAATATGATTTATAACAATCAAATGTAATACCTGTTAAGTGATCGTTCACAGGTAAGATGAAAAGCATCTTATTTGTGATATCACAAGTAGCACACAGTGCATTAGCTTTCTCAGATGTCTGTGTGTCATCTGAGGTAGGGATTGGTGTGGTAGTTTGAATTAGAGCTAAACCTAAACGTGTATTTCGCCCCTAATAATGAGAAAGATCCAAAACTATTTCTGTGCTTACAATTTTTATTTTGCGTAAAAATACAATACTTTAAGTGAAAGCTTATATTTATAATGTTTATTATTAAAATATTACAATATACCTGCAAAGCAGCACGCATACTCTGCAAAGCTGCGGCACATTCTAGTTTCCGCTCAGACCATTGTGGATCATTCCAGTCTAATTCAAAAAATACTATGACCAACGCAGGTAAGGCATTAAGATGTTTAGGCAGCCAATTACGTTTCAAGATGCCTTTGGGTAGATACCACTCATAGGATGTTCTCTTAGGTTTACAAATAGGAAACTCATAATCATTGGGAAGTAGCTTATACTGTATTGGAGCTCTATTTGTAAAAGATATGAAAGAATGCAATGAATAGACGTTAATTAATTAATGTCGTCATAATATACCTGTCTGAAAGACGGTTACTACTAAAAGCATCCCAAATAGCTCTATGTATTGCGTTATTTCTGGCATCTAGACCAGATAAACCAATCAATGCCTGAGTGGGGCATATCAATTCTGAGGGAATAGTTCCGGCATCACTACCCATATTGAATTATAACAATTGAAATATAACTCTTAAAACATAATAATAATAATTTGTTGGTGAACTCTATTATTAAATTTGGTTAGATTAAATTAAAATAATTAATTAATTAAGCTTGATAGTAAATTGATTTGACATTATTGATATGGATTGATATTATCAAGTGGTTAGAAACTGTCAAAGAGATATGTCAAACACTAAAAGCTGTCAAACTTTTATTATGTTGCCAGCGCTGTTAACCAGTTAGGATTTTTAAGTATGTATTTGTAAAGTTTTTAATAACTTGCAGTGTACATATTATTTACCACATTTTTGTAAAAAATGTTATTATTATTAATTAACTTAAAAGTACTTTTATAAATTTTAATATATTTTTAGATCCGAAGATAAACTATATTTTTTGTAAAGATATAGCAAATACATTTATTTCTCTATGAGTAAGTTAATTATTTATTTTCTACACTTTATATTATATGTAATTTATATATTATATTAATTAATTTGCTTATATATATGATAGGTTCTTAGATAAATAAACAAAATTCAATTGTGATTGATAAAACTTTCCATTCAAATACTCGCGCAGTACCTACTAATATTATTATATTGTAAAAGGTTTCTACTACTAACTCAAGCTAAATCTCAATTTTGGTTATTAAGTCAATGACTATATAATTACCTATATTACAATGTCACTTACACCTAGTGTTTTCCAGTTTAATTAAAGCATACCGCATATAAATTATTTCAGTATAATTCATTTTTAATTATATTCTATTTTTTAACCCTACGGGAAGTAGGGTAGTTTTTTTTCAATTTTTTTCTTCAAAACAATTTTTTTTTTGTATATCGAAAATAATTCAGATTTTAATTTTAATTCTAACTAAAGTTCTAATATACGTTAAACAAATAATTTTAACTTTGCGATTCAGTTTATATAATTCATATAAATATTAGACAATGTTATAATATTTATAATAATCTATTTGAAAACATTTAATATTCCTCAAATATTTTGTTACGGTACGGGAAGTTCCAGTAATTTGCCTTGAGACACGATGTCATACACCACTAGCTAAATTTTTCTTCGATCCGCAAAAATCTATTGCAAATTATGTAATATTCTCTATATGCATTGGCCGTATTCAATGTGCGCTCTATTTACTTGAATTGGGTTATTGGGTTAAGGGCAAATTTTAACTACGTCACATCAACTTAGTGTTTAGACCGCGTTTATGTTTCAATTATGATTCATTACTTCAGAAAGTATTGAACGGCGCCTTTATAAATTTTAATCAGTAGTAACTTGCTAACTATTTGTTTTTAAGCAAAGTTTTGTATGAATTAGTTTGAATAAACAAATTTAGATTAAAACCACATTTTTGGTATAAATCTTATTGAGTTTGCTTTCAAATGGTTGTGTAAAATATATATTTAGTTAATGTATGTACTATAATTATTTTTAAATCAGTAGATAATTTATCTACTTTTTAAATTCCCGCAGGGTAAACTATAGTAAACCCAAAAAGTCAAAAATGAACATTTTTGCATATCTTATAATTAGAAAATTGAGAATTTGGTATACCTTAGAAAAAATGAATGTATGTATGTGTGTGCGTATGGTTGTATACAATATTTCGTCCACGACATCGGAAGTACGATACAAGTGATTTGAACCATTAAAATAACATTCAATTCGTATTGTGGAAGAGACGTGCTGATTAGTATTTGGAAAAGGCAGGTCTAGCCGTTCCGGCAATACGAAACAAAAAGCGCAAAAACAAACTTTTTAGACAGAACGGCACATCCGATTACATGTTTACAAAGGCAGGCAAAAAGTCTAATAAATAGTAGTTTTGAGAGAATAAAATTTACAGTATTTGTAATAATTATTTTAAAATATTGATTCTTTTGTATACTAATCTCGCTAATTGCTACGCGTAGGTATTATTTTAAGGGAATATTCTAGTATAGAGGCATGAATTTTAGTTAATTTTCAAATCATCGTAAAAAAGGCAATTCATTTTTTTACTATTTGAGGCAATCCATTTTTTTCTATAAAATTTTTTTTTGACGAAATGGAAAAAAGACCATTACTATCAATTTTTTAAGGTCCTCGATTTTTTTTAAAAATAGTAAAAAATTTAAGGGGCACAACTAGTGTAACCGCCTAAAAAAAGGTGATTTTTGGGAATTTATATTACAAAAACTACGTTATCAATCATTTCAAAATTTTAGGAATATATTTATACATGTTTCAAGAATACATAGTAAAATTGTTGAAGAAAAAAATTAAATATTTTACAAGTTATCGTCGATTTTCAATGGCGCAACAAAAAAAAGACCCTTAACTGCTGCAGTGATTCCGGCCCTTGACGTGGATGAAATAAAAAAAAAAATTGTTAAACTAGATAATATTGTCTGTAAAGTAAACTACGATGAGAAAAAATAATCAAAAATTGACAAAATGACGGCATTTTTTAAAAAAAAAGTCGAATTTACCCAAAATTTTGGTCGTTTTTCGACCGCCAAAATTCTATTTTTGATCCGATCAAAAAATCGATAGTTCACTTTACGGAGAACTATATATACACATGTAAAAATTTGATAGTGATCGGATCATTAGTTTTTGAGTCATCACTGCAGCAAATTCGGAAAATGCTGTTTCGAGAAAAACGCGTTTAAAGATAAAATGATCGTTGTACTATATACTATATGTATACTTTTTAAATGGTTGTAACTCAAAAACTATTTGCGATATCGATTTGAAATTTTAATATGTTATTTTTAATCTACCGAAATATGAAAAAATCGATTTTTTCAAAATTTCACACTAGTTGTGCCCCTTAATTTGGGGATAAGGGTAGTATATACCAGAGAGAAGCCTGTAAAGAAGATTCTATGAAAGTTTCAAGTAAATCGGTTCAGTAGAACTCGAGAAATCGTGTACATCGTTTGAGAAGTTAATTTTGAGAAAACGCGTTTAAAATTTTGCAAAAGGAAGACAATGGAAGAAGAATATCATGGTCGAAAACTTTATCTCCAAAAATGATTTAGATTTAAGAAAATCCTTTCGTACATATATTCTTGAATAGTACAGCTTTGAAAATATAAAAGAAAAAACAAATTGTTGGAATTTTTACACTAGAATACCCCCTTAGTGTTTCATATAAGTAATGGAATGGTATCCGAGAAAAATGAAACGAATTCGATTATATAGTCTCCACGACGATTACGAGAAGATATATTGTGTAACGACAATTATGTGATAGGCTTCGCTCGAGTGGTGTAATTTTGTTTTCTCTTAGCCGATGACGGCATCGAATCCTATGGAGTTCGCTTTCGATCTGTTCTTCGGCGTAGAACGTACGTAGACCTCGGCAGCGCATGCCCCTGGCTCGTCTACGTCGCTACGAACGCCGTCGGGCCGAGTCGCACCGGCGTACGCATCGTAGCGCGCTCGTGTTGTGTTTATCCTGCAGTATATGAATAGCGACCCTCTGACGCCAGCCCGACGCCATTTTAATCGGATACTTCTTATAGAGTACATCATCGTATCAACGCTCCAATATATCATATGCGCGCGATTCATTAATTCATGCCTATATATGACTCGGCAGCCCGTCAGAGTCGCGGGTAGTGCAACGCACTATCTGGACATGCATTTGCAAAGGGCTCATTGGTGTTCAGTGAAAAATAGTGAAGTGCTCTCGTTGCTTCAATACGTCATTGCACAGATGTGATCTCATGTCGCAAACAATGTATACGCCTTCACATGGACTGGATTTTAGTGCTGTTCTCCGAAGATGTTGTACAATATCGCATGTATGATCGTTTTGGGTGTTCTGACATTACCACAAATTGTAAGTTTTTCATTTTTCAATATTTGCTTACATACATCGATACTGGTTTGCATTGCGTTAAGATAGTTTGTAGTTTGCACACTATAGGATGTTTTGGTCCGGATGTTTCGAATATGTGGGTTATATTGATTTCCATACTCTACTTTAGAATAAATCCAATCGAAATATAGCGAACTATAAATTTAATTTAGATTACCAAATAAAAAATATTTATTATACTTAACACATCATTGTCGATTTTTGTACTCACAGCACATAAAACATAAATAAAAAAATAAATAATATTTTTATAATAAAAATCTAGTATTTAATTGACAAATTTAGTCACAATGTTTAACAATATTGTAAGACTAATTTTCAACAAACTTTAAATAATTTTAAAATAACCTGAAGCATGCGAAAGCCATTAAATTTATTATATATATAATATTATATTCCAATTTTTTGATAAAATAAACAATATTTTTAAAATTGTTCATTATAGAATTTAAGTTTATTAGTAGAGAAATTACGAAAAAAATACGGATATGGTGTTCTGTTTTCTCAGAGAAAATTGTTTATTTAATAATATTACAACCAGTCTCAATTGTTTTTACTCGTTTACTTCTAGAATAGTATCTTAATTAAGTAGGAACTATATTAAGATATTTATCATGAAAAAACGCAACCTATTACAAAATATATTTTTAAACTTCCCGTAGGGTAAGTTATTGTAATCGTCCAAAAATTGAAATTACAAATTTTTGCATTTCTCGACGTTTTGAAGGTTTTTGAACATTTTGGCATATCTCAGAAAAAATGGATGTGTGTGTGTGTGTTTTGTGTGCCCGCATTTTTCGTTCACGTTTTCGGGCGCACGGATCAACCGATTTGAATGGTTCAAAAAACATTCGATTCCTATTCATAGGGAGATGAGCTGATTAGTTTTTGGCAAAGGCAGATCCAGCAGTTACGGAGATAAAGAATAAAGAGTGCAGAAAATAGAAATTGAGTTTTTGAGAGAACGGAGCATCCAATTTGAATGATCTAAAAAATATTCAATTAGTAATGAATGGGAGAAGTGTTTAATAGCTTTTGGCAAAGGCAGGCCCAGCCATTTCGAAGATACAGAGCTAAATGTGTAAAAAATGGCAGTTTTTGAGAGAACTAAGCGTCCGATTTAAATGATTCAGGGAACTTTCTGCTTGTCTTAACAAAATAATTGATTTTGGAAAAAAAACTTTGTTTCAACTTTTTTTTTCAAAAAAAATTTCTTTGTATATCTAAAATAATTCAGATTTTACTTTTAATTTTGACTAAAGTTCTAATATACTTTAAACAAATAATTTCGACTTTGCAATTCAGTTTATATAATTCTTATAAATATTAGACAATGTTACAGTATTTATAATAATCTATTTGAAAACATTCAATATTCCTCGAACATTTTGTTACGGTACGGGAAGTTCTAGCAATTTGCCTTAAGGCACGATGCCATACACCCCACTAGTTCCATATGATACGGACAAAATGACATAGGGTAAGAACATCCTGTGATGCTTATTTTTAAGATAGCACTTCGCAAATAAATCGTTTCGTCTTCTTTGGGACATTAGTACAGAAAGCATAAACCCAAGGGGTACACGTCATACATCGCAACCAATCTTTGCTGGATCAGAACCGAAAAGAGGGTTTTACAACAAATAAAAGTCTCTTCTTTTTACCCGTGAAACTTTTGATCTGTTTTTTAGCAATTATTCCTCATTTAAATCCCCAATCATCTTTGACAGGTTTTATTTTTTTTCTTGACCTTGCGTGATAGTACAATGCCATTTTGTCACAAACAAAAATGATTAATTTATCAAAATTCCACCAAACACCTGATTATAGCAATAAAATTGATCGAAATCACTGCCACTATTATAATCATGAATATCAAGAAGTAAGGTTTGAAAAAATATAAGAAAAAAATCTTGAAAATATACTATTCAAGGTGTTAAAGTCGTTTGAACTGATTACTGCGACTAGACGGTGACCAAGACCTCAACATATGACTGGATTGTTATTATGGTCTTATTCATGTTATACAGTCGCGAAAGCGTTAATAAAACTAGCTAATTTTTAACTAGTGGTGCATGGCATCGTGCTCTAAGGCGAATTGCTAGAACTACCCGTACCAAAAATTATTTTTTTTTATAAAAGTTCTTAATATTTTAGAAATCTTTGAATAAATGTGTAATTTAAAATTTTGAAATTTTTAAAAAATTAGATTTTTTTATATTTTGAAAATTTTGAACTTTTTTCCAAAGCAATCGTTTTGCGTGGCTGTTTTAGAGAAGAAATATCGAAGCGGGTAAGCGCCACATCGCAGTCTAACTGATAAACATTGTTACGGAACTCATAGTAATGTAAACAAAATTTATACTTATCAATAAAATCTCTATAAAATATCTGTTAATTTGTTGTGCATATGTTTAATGATCATTTTTGAACCCAAATGGCATTTTTTTCACTTTTTCAATAAATCTCCAAAAACCGCTAGACCTGCCAAATAATCAGATATTTTATGAAGATTTTAATAATACGTATTAATTTTGTTTACATTTCTATGGGTTCCGTAACATCGTTTTGCATCGATGTTTTCACTCTATGCAGCTAAAGCAGCGCGATCGCTTTAAAAAAAAGTTCAAAATTTCCAAAATATTTCAAAATATATATTTTTTTTCAAAAATTTAAAATTTTTCAAAAATCTAATTTTTTTAAAATTTAAAAAATCAAATTTAATCTTTTCTAAAAAAAAGTCATACACCACTTGTTATTACAACAATTATATTAATTTCTACGTGTATACTTAAGAAAATAATATTTACGCTATTTATCACTTTCAATGGTATCGAGATTTGATTTTGGCGGTACACAAAAAGCACTGACGGTTAGCACACAAACATATATGGAAGACATATACATGGTTTTTATTTCCATATCATGAAACTGCGATCTAGCAAAATTGGTTAACCAGCAAATAATCAGCTACGATTTATTCCTACTAAAGAATGATTAGAGTGATAGAAGTTTCTTAAGCATTCAATTTTGAAATTTCGTAGCTTTTCTTAATTTTGAAATTTGAGAACCATTCTTTTCACATTTGTCTTATATGTAGATTAATTTTTAAACAAAAGATGCTTTTGAAATTACTATTTTGAGAATTTATTAAATCCATGCAATTATTTGTACAGGTTAATTTAATATTATATCTCATTTAAGTTCAAATTGTAATAATATGTAGACTTTTTGTTTTAATATATTAATTTAATTTTATATAAAACTATAGTAGTAAAACCAATTGTTTTTCTTTATCAAAGCATAAAAATAAAAAAAAATCTGTTTCTAATTCTATTATTTCCCAATCTTACCAAAGCCTGTGACATCGAATTTTTTTAATAGAAGAGAATTTAAGCATTTGGAGAATAAATGAAGAAAGTTACTAGATCATATGAAAAATTTATGTTTGATTAGTTTTGATTTTATGTTTAAGACCCTGTAAAAATACATTACAAATTAAATATGTGAAAAATAATATTATTTTCGTTCAACTGAAGTAATGCAATCTGAGTTTAAAATTTACTGAAAACTACCAAAGTTAATTAATATTATTATTGATACAAATAAAAATGAATTAATAGACAAATGTTTAGTAGATATTTTATAGTTTAAATTAATTAAAAAAAATAATTATAAATTTTTAATAAATTTTATAAATAATTCGTGATTATTTACTTCGTGCTTTGCAATTTGTATTAGCAGATATATAACTTGTGAATATGAGTTCATCATGAGATGAGGTATATAACTTGTGAATAAGAGTTCATCATGAGATGACACACATTTATGCATTATTTTATATTTATTAATAATATATAGATACTGAAAAATATTTATTTAAATAATATATATTTATTAATAATATATAGATACTAAAAAATATTTATTTAAATAATATATCATTGTTTAATCATCGTTCATGAATTTTGTATAATGTTTAAGATTTAAAATAATGCGAACTGAAAATATAGAACTAATAAGTTAACAAAATTGCAGGCTCCGACTCGTTTCTGTGAGGGCGGTCACAAGTGTTCAGTGCCTAAAGAGTGTTGCCTTCAAGGCTGCTGTTATTTATATACTCCTCCGGGTCCTCCAAGGTCGCCTGCTCCAAGCGCAGATCATGTCCTCAGCTTATTCTTTGTTAACCACTGGTACTTCTGGTAAGCCAAATTAATTATTTTCTATTATTATTTCAAGAAAAAACCTAATGTGATTTATATATTTTAATCAATTAGCGCACTGTGATATAGTAATTTTATTAATTATAGAGCACGCACCAGCGCTAAGAACATTCACCGCGAATATCTTAGATGCGCAGCCCTTTATTCCAAAATTCAATAAATTTTTATAATTGAACTACTTGTCGTAAACCCAAAAATTTTTAAAATGTTTGTTGAGATTATGAACTATTTTTAAAAATTTTGTTAGAAAAAATTAATTACGAAGAAACAGTCTGGATGATCTTTACTAAAAGTAGTCAGCACGTATTATATCTTTTTCACAATGTTTTAAATTTTCAATTCAGGATTTCTTGGCTTAAACGTTGACAAGAAATTCACTTTTCTGCTAATCTCGGCCGATCGTTGCACTCAACAGCAGATTGGCCGAGTGGCTATGGTTGTGGGATTCTAATTTTTGCTCCGGGGTTCAATTCCCGATTCAGATATATTTTTTGTTATTTTTTTTTATTTGATATTTATAATTTCACGTGTAAATAATATCAAAATTTATTTGATTTTTCAATTAATTTTATATTTTTCGCTAAATATTCTATAATAAAGTCCTCCGTAATACCGGTCATATAAATGTTAAGTGATTCCTGAAACATTATAATTTTGTATTAATATCAACAATAATACGGAAGAAGAGATATAATTTATTTCCATGTAAAACCTATGTTCAAATTTACTATTATGAAGATGATACTTTGTACGTTTGACCAGCCCAAGAATCTAATATTAATATAAAAAATCCTTTTCGACATATGACTTGAAAACATTAATAAAATTTATTCACTGCAGCACAATCTCCACGATCCCCACAATTGTAAATTTGAACATAGGTTTTACATGGAAATAAATTATATTTCTTCTTCCGTATTATTGTTGATATTAATACAAAATTATAATGTTTCAGGAATCACTTAACATTTATATGATCGTAAGTTTCATAAGTAATATCAAAATAAAAATTTACCGGTATTACGGAGGACTTTATTATAGAATATTTAGCGAAAAATATAAAATTAATTGAAAAATCAAATAAATTTTGATATTATTTACACGTGAAATTATAAATATCAAATAAAAAAATATATATCTGAATCGGGAATTGAACCCCGGAGCAAAAATTAGAATTCCACGACCATAGCCACTCGGCCAATCTGCTGTTGATAAGGAAAAACATCGCAAGCTATGCATGCCGCGCGCTGCTACAATGCAAACTTTAATTAATTTTTATAATTAAACCGCTTTTCATAGGCCTCTAATATTTTACCAAGGTCAGTTTGGGCATCAAATCTACCATTGTGCCAAGTTTCATCAAAATCCGAGACGAGCAACGCGCGGGTTCTCCTTTTTAGAAATTTGGCACTGTGGCACTGACAAAAAAACAGATAGACCTGCCTTCCCACAAATTTAAGCAGTTCTTCATTTTGTCAATACAACGGAGATACGGGAAAAATGTGCCACAAATTGTAATAGAGTTTTTGAAAGAACGGAGCATCCGATTTGAATGATTAAAAAAACATTTGATTTGTATTGACGAAACAGAAAACTGATAAAATTTTTCGAAAGTCGGGTTCTGTGATTTCGGAAATCAGATAAGAGATGTAAAAAAATGCATTTCGCAGTCAAAAATTATCATTAGACATATACACATAAAATTTTCGGAAACTTTATAGATTTTAATAATTAGTACATGTTTTGCTTATTTTTCTATGGGTTCGGTACCTCTGTTTATCCGTTGACTGCGACGCGGCTTAAAACAAAATAAATGTCTTTTTTTTAATTTTTCAAAAAAATTTAAAACTTTTTTAACAATTTTAATTTTTGTTACGGGAACTTCCAACAATTTGCCTTAAGGCACGATGCCATGCAGAATATATTTTTCTTAAACAAATTGATAAATTTGATAATAACTTATTAACGAATTTAATAATTTACGTTCAGTGAGGTTGGGAAGGGGTCGGTCTTGATGGCGCTGTTATCAAATATCGCTCGGCAATCCCTCGTTCCTAATGCTTTCAAATTAATGGCTCAAAATTTGAAATGAAAAATGATGAATTTCAATAATCGGTTATTTGAACCTATATAACCTTCCATTACAGTCGAATTATGTGTTGTTAGTTATATTTCATGAAATAAAAAATATTACTAATTGTAAAAGGAATTAGTTAATTATATTGTATAGAATTTTATTCTCTCGGTTCAAATTTTGCCGTCCCATAAACAAGCAAACCGCCCAAGTATTTGTTATACAATATGTATTACGATTTTTTAATCTATATCAATAAATATGTTTAATTAAAAATTAAAAAAATCACTTTTGAATAAATAAGAGTTGCAATAACAAATTAGAATTTGCAATAATTTAACACTTGTACACCGAAGTGGAGATCACCTACATGCGTCGCTCGTACCGAAAGGTTCATTATTGTAGAATAGTGCGCAATAAGCAAAATGTATTTGTATTATTATAACTTATTAAATTCCAATTACGTAAACTAATAATCAATTACATTATATCAATTATACTATTAACACTCTAAATGACAAAATACTTAGTAAGTTTCTTTTTATTATTCAATCGAGCGTGTAGTGTGAGAATGATACAGTTTTAATATACCATATATACTCAATCCAATTTCTGCAGCTCTATAAAAACTTGTGATCATGTCCTCATGATGTCATAAGTTCCAACCAGAAATCGCGCTCAAAACGATGTTTGGTGTGTTGAACAAGAACTTAATATAGATAATGATCGGGTTGTGTATTGTAAGCTGAACTGAATCCAAAAGCACTCGAAAACGTTTCTCGATCTAAATCCTCATTTAATTGGCGCAAACCGTACATAACCATATCGGTTGTTAAAGAAGTTCCGCTTTTATAATATTATTGAAGGGATTATTTTAGTCTGCTCGATAATTACCTAATTTAATAAAAACATTTTTTAAAATTAGTTAAAAAGTGACATTTTGCCTTAAGGGGTTAGGGGTACTTGGAATTTTTGAAAAATCGATTTTTATTTATTTGCATTTTTATTTAGTGTAATATCTTGCGAATGTTCTCTGAAAATTTCAAGTTGATCCGATGATTACTATTTGAGTTATTGGCTCTTACCAGCGCGCTGACGCAAGTGGAGAGCTCGATACTTATACTCAAGATTATTCTCCCTCACCTCCTGATGTTTGAAAAGCTTTTAAACCGATTTACAATGATCTCAGCAATGATAATTTACTTTCAAGATGTGTAGTTCAAGATTGAATCCATAATCAGAAGAAATTAAAAGCTTCAACCGACTAGTGTAAAAAATATGCCTAAAAACCGTGAATACTAGTTCTACTATCGTACAAATTGCTGAATACATATACATAATCATTATTATTGATTATGGATACCCTAGGACCTAATTGTGGTTATAATTCCCATTGCCCTGCTGAAAAATTGGATGCTGCACGCATGAAAGTGGCAGATCAGCGCGCCAACGAGAACATTCGGGAGGCCAGAATGCTTCGTAGGCAACAGCAAATAAAAATTTTGGAAACTTGCACAATGACTGATGAACTATTATATGACCCAGAAATAGATGACTCGGTTCAAATAATTCAATAATTCAAATTTCTGTACGTAAATCCAATGTGAAACTTTAAACGCGTTTTTCTCAAAACTAGGTTTATTGAAACGGTGACCACTATAACTCAAAAACCGCTTAGTAAATTTTAATGAAATTTATACAGCTTTTAGAATACATAATAAACTAGGGCCTGATCGAAGGATTTTTATTTTTTCAAAAATTTCAATTTTTTAAGGCCAATTAACTGTTGATTTTTTACCCAAAAATCTAGAAATTTTATTTCTGATGCTGCCATTTTATTAATTTTTGAAAAAAAAGAAAACTTTCGATCAGGCCCAGGATTATCTATTTATAAAACTATTTTTTTTATTTGATTGATTTTAGATGAATCTCTAAGGAGTTATGATGGTCACCGCCAGGACCGTTTTTTTAGACAGGGTCAACAAAAACAGCTATAACTTTGGAAATATTAATTTTTTTTTTCTGAAATTTTTGTTACTTCAAGTCAAAACATTGTATAATGATGCCGTATTAATATTTTTGTAAAAAAACATCGTGCAAAAAACGATACTGAAAATTCTCAATTTTTCGTATCTCCAAGTACCCCTTGCACCTCGATTTACAAATTTCGGGAAGTTTTTTTTTAAATTTTATTTTCAATAGCAATCAGGACAATTCTATGAGCTATTTGGCTTATATCATTCACTAGCACACATACTCACACACTTTCAAACACACATATAAATTAATCTGATAAATATTTTATTAATAGTTCACTTCAATAAGTGATTTTACTATCCTGTTCATATAAAGTTGTGGTAGTTCTTAAGGGTCCTCCATATTATCTTTGGCCAGTTTCTTTTTCAGCCTTCTTGAAATTGGTGTCTCAAGGTATCAGGAAGTTCATGCAACTTGTCTTAATTAATACGAATTGAAAGTTAGCTATTTTTAGCTTTAATAACATAAAAGCGCATCCTATTATTCAAAACATTAATGGCAAATAAAAATCGAACCAACTTTTTTATTTTTTTTGTTAACTTTCAAAATAGCAATCAGAACAATTAACATTTCTATAAGCTATTGAGATGTACGCAACTCAAATGCTATATTTTAGCTCGGTAAAAAGGTAAATGAAAATAGTTTTATTTAGAGTACCTACTCTCTAGTGAGATTATCTACCTAATATGATGAATCAAATTAAATCAACTGGTTGTATCTTATTTATTCTTCTGGCACCTGCATTGACGATCAGTGGGGATATTGTGATGTTTATGTGATTTCGAAGTCTGGAGAAATGGGATGTATTTCTGGCATTTTTAACTCCTTGTACAGTTTCTATATTTAGATTATTGTGTAGACGCAGAGT